GGAATAGCCAACACTCCAGAAGACAGGCTTCAGATACAGAAGGATCTGGACAGACTTGAACACTGGGCACTAACTAACAAAATGAAATTCAATGGTGAAAAAAGCAAGGTTCTACATTTAGGCAAGAAAAACCAAATGCACAAGTACAGCATAGGTGGCACCATGCTCAATAGTAGTAACTGTGAGAGGGACCTCGGAGTCCTAGTAGACAATCACTTAAATATGAGCCAGCAGTGTGCTGCAGCTGCCAAAAAGGCCAACACAGTGCTAGGCTGCATTAACAGAGGGATAGAATCAAGATCACGTGAAGTATTAATACCACTCTTCAATGCCTTGGTAAGGCCACACTTGGAATACTGCATCCAGTTTTGGTCACCACGATGTAAAAAAGATGTTGAGACTCTAGAAAGAGTACAGAGAAGAGCAACAAAGATGATTAGGGGACTGGAGGCTAAAACATATAAGGAACGGTTGCGAGAATTGGGTATGTCTAGTTTAACGAAGAGAAGGACAAGGGGGGACATGATAGCAGTATTCCAATATCTCAGGGGCTGCCATAAAGAAGAGGGAATTAAGCTATTTTCCAAAGCACCTGAAGGCAGGACAAGAAGCAACGGGTGGAAACTAATCAAGGAGAGAAGCAACCTAGAACTAAGGAGAAACTTCCTGACAGTGAGAACAATTAATCAGTGGAACAGCTTGCCTCCAGAAGCAGTAAATGCTCCAACACTGGAAGTTTTTAAGAAGAGACTGGACAGCCATTTGTCCGAAATAGCGTAGGGTTTCCTGCCCGAGCAGGGGGTTGGACTAGATGACCTCCAAGGTCCCTTCCAACTTTACTACTATTACTATTACTAAATAGTTGGAAATTATGAGTTCTGTGTAGTCCACGTTAGCCAAAGACAATTGGACCTAAGGTTCTGTCTTAGAAATAAATAAGAAATAGGGGATCGAAAAGGTCTTCCACAAATAAAAGTGGCCTGGAGACCCAATCAAAACGTATAATAGATAATTGCACAACTGTTATTTAGCTGTTACTTTTACATTCTACTTTTTTCCTTTGGGGGACAAGAACTTCTTTTCCAGATTTCCCAAACCTGTCAAATAAGTTACTCAAATCACCAAGTGAATTCATGAGATCTGAATTCAGGAATCAACTCCTAAAGTTGGGTACGTAACAGTGACGCTGTATTAATTCTCACAGCAGATTACAAAAAAATGCAATGTCTTTTAATACGTTTAAAACTAATCTTCAGACATTGTCATGTATTGTGGGTGAATCTCTACTTTTCATGTAAGAATTACACCAACGGCTTCCTGCATTTGTATATATTCAGGTACAGGCCTTGAATAGCCTCTTAAAATGTAACCTGCCCTTACAAACATTTTGCACGTATTTTCAATCTACGTTGACATATTTTTGCATTGCATGCTTTTCCCCCCAAAAAAGCATTGAGATGAGCAGTCAGTTCCCACACTGCTAAATCTTTCAGTCACACCCAAAGTAATCCAGCAATGCACACTCTATTTTTCAGGCGGCCCAAAGCAAAGAAGATATAGTTCCCTGTTGACATACAAGCTCTCCAACCCTCCAGGCAATCCTAATAAATATTCTTAGCTTGGCTCCCCAGCCCAGACTAAATAGCAATTTGCTGATAGATGTAGAGTTCCTCTTATGTTAAATACTGCTATGATCAGCGTCACAAATAACTATGCAGTAGATTTTTATTTTTACACGGGGCAACATCAACCGCTTGATTGGGATATTTGGCACATAAGCATCTAGAAGGATAAAAGAAATAGAAAGCCCAAGTTGGTATGTACGTTATGTTGTCTACCGGTAACAAATTCCTTCACTGCCTATGGGAAAATATACATGTGAGAGAATGCACCAGTATTTGCTTGAGTATCAATATACTTGGTGCTTTGGATTGGAAAAAGTAAAAAAAAAAAAACATCTTGAAAATACAGTCTCTTTGATGGATTTAATGCTGCTGAATTTCCTTTAAAAGGGGGAATCTCTATAATGATCAAGAGACAGCTTAAATTATTTTGAATACTATTTTGTTGTTTTTTTATTTTCTTGTCATAATATAAAAATGTTTGTTTGTGTGAGTGTGTGTGAGAGAGAGAGGGGGGAGGGAGGGAGGGAGGGAGACGGGGAAAGAAAGGTGTACCTTGGAAGCCATGTCAATTTGGGGAAAAAAATAATGTAGCAAACCATCAGAATCCGAAAGAAAAAGGCATCATTATTGATTGGTAGCAATGCATATTTTAAAACCCAGACAGAAGGTGAAGCTATACAACTCAACTATAGCTATTCTGAAAACCCACTCGATCATTTAGGCACATACTGTTCATCCATCTGTTATCTATATTCTCTGATCAAAGACCAATTGCAGCCATTGTCATGCCTAATATCACATTTCATTTCACTTCGTTTCTCCCACCAGACCTTCTAGCACAGTGATTCTCAACCTGTGGGTCAGGACCCCATTTGGGGTCGAATGACCATTTCACGGGGGTCGCTAAACAACGCAGTCCGCCATTTTTTCCCCTTTTCCTTAGCTGTGCTATTCCCTTTTATTCTATTGGCTTTTGAAAGCCAATAGAATAGACTCTCTTGAATAGAGTCTAATTCTATTGGCTTTCAAAAGCCAGTAGGAATTGTCCAGGCTGTCTCTGCTCTGCCAAAAGTCCCATTCTGCAAACGGTGCTGCACCAGTTGAGTAGTCCTCGACTTACGACCGGTTGGGGGTCGCGGCATTAAAAAGGTTGAGAATCACTGTTCTAACCAAACTTCATAAAGAACTGGAATAAAACACCCTAAGCCAAACTTACATGGTTAAGAAACAAAGATAGAATTTAATAGAAGTAACTTAAAAGTTCATGTTACTCCATATTACTACTGCTTTGTATGTATCCCACTGCTGGCACACATGAAATTAAAATCCGGCATCAACTTTAGCAGACTTCCATAAGCTACTCCTGAAACTTGTGGGGAGGAATTTCTGTGTATCCACAATGTAGAAAAAACAAGTGGTAGCTTAGTGGTAAGACTCTCACCTCCCACCCAGAAGGTTGAGAGTTCAATCTTAGGTAGGGGCAGATATTTCTCTCCTAGGGTGGAAAAAATATCTGTTGCAAACTCCACATAGGCGTCAGGGAGGGCATCCAGCCAGTAAACACTCAGCTCGCTCCAGTCGCTCTGACTCCGTCCCAAATTAAGGGACCACAGGGTCATAAAAAGGGAGTTTTATCCCTAATGTAGAATAATGGAGAAAATTTAGCATATGCAGCAGGGACTCTACTTCTTTTAGCACGATGTTTCTTTCAGGCTTTCAGCATGTTCCACATTAAATGATTGCCCTCTTCTAGATCTACATTATGCCACTGTCCTGGTTTGTAGGGTCCTCGCCCTCCAGACCGCTTTTTCTAATTGCATGGCATAGAATGCTGTCAACGTTCAATACTGTTCGAAGTGGGACAAGGAAATATTGTCTTGAATTATGTTAGGCAAACAAAAATGCCACACCCCAAACACAAATAATTGCAGAATAATATTATTTTGCTGCATGCTGTGCTGAAAAAGCCAGCTTCTCACAGACATCCCGGCACGGTGTCCCTGGTGCTAACCACTAAAATGTAGACACTTGGAGGAGGCAGCCCAGCAGCCATCTCCATAAGGGGAAGATTAAGACAAAGGCGGAGCAAATTCAGCACCAGTGTGACTCCTTTTATAAATACATTTGAAAACCACTGTCGGTCCCATGGAAAAACAGCAACAGATGTTAAAGGCTAGGAAGAAGTGTTCTTGCCCCCCAAAATAAAGACACAGATGTACTAGCAGCTCTATTCACTGCCAAATCCACCAAAACCAACGACAGGCCACACACATTGCTCCAGACAGAAACTTCCCAGCTAAGCTGCCTCTTGCAGATGAGAGCATCTCTACTCAAGAGCCTCAAGAGAAGTGCCATTTAACGCTGACAGTTATTCACCTCCCAGGATACCTGGGCTATTTCCAAGGCCTGAAATTTAAGCACCAAGGAGGCGTGACTAAGGTTAAAACTAGTGCCGGGGGCATATTACGAGAGTCATTACCAGTGATGCTAAAGCCAAGTAAAAAACAATTTAACAATGGCATTGTGTATTGACATTTGGATTTGCGCTCATGAGAACTAGAATAACTGAGTTTCTCAGACTTCAGCTCCGTTGCTCTCTCTCTCACACATATACAGATGCCCTAATGCAACTATCCACAATCTGGATGTGTCGAGTTACAACTTCATGTATTACAACCAATGATCATAGTGTCAGTATAGGAGCTGTTCTAATGTAAGTCCTTACAAGCACCTACAAATGATCACACTCTGCAAAGCAGCAAACTCTACTGTCCTAAACGCTAGACCAGTGCTTTTCAAATTTGGAAACTTTTAAGATGAATGGACTTCAACGCCACTCGTGAAAAACACTACAGACATGTACCACTGCTTTGTGAGAAACTAACATTGAGACAATAGCAGCAAAAGAAAATCTAATTATATTACAATGCAGATTTGCTGAGGGCCACAACTATTTTTAATAAACAGCTGCCTTGATCACTTCCAGTAATGCTTGTTATACAATTTCTACTATCGGGAAAGCTCTTCAAATACCACCCAACCATAATCAGGGGACTGTCTCCATTTATTTTGAAACATCTTCTCTTAGCACAGTTCTGGGTATTGGAGAATCCTTATACCAAAGTTTAGCCTAAGTTATTGAGCTGCTCATATATTGCTCCAGAATAAGAATACTGTAGGATGTGGTTGGGTAACAATGATATGGGAGCAATTTCAGTAACTGGTTATTTGTGCCTATAGTCACTAAGATAGAGAATATGAAGAAATGCTGGCTGTCTTCATGTTAACAACCCAATGAAAGGCATTTGACTTAACAAGGGGTGTCATATAGCTGCCCTTTTACAATGTAACCTTGAAAATCAACGCGTTACATACCCACAGTCACAGATCTCACAGATACATTTGCCAGAGAATTGAGTTTGTTGCGGAGTCATTTTGGAAAGATGGGATGGTTGCAGTCCTGGTGAAATCGGTTAGTTAGCTCTTGCTGATTCCACTGCTGCAAGGAACGGTAGAAGACTGTTGTGAGCACATCCCAGCTAATCGAGAGGCACAAATTCTTTTCTACCTTAAAACTAGCTCCTGCTGAAAACTAATGGAGTCCTCACCTTGCCTGTAAAGGTGCAGGGGACACATAATAACTTGTTTAGTAGTCACCTGGAGATCCTTTGTGAAGTCACCAGGTAGATTTGCCTTTGCAGGCAGTAATACTACCAAAACAGAGTATCTGCTCCCAGAATTGATGAGTAATTTACATCCAAATAGAAAGATACTCTATTTAGGTTTGGGAACCGATAAGTTTATCCCAACTGTGGGCATTTAACTAAAAATGGAAGGGGCCGCATTAGAGAGACTACTGCAAATTTATAAAATTATATATAGCAAATTTGGCCTCACAGGTCAATAACACAGCAACCATACGAACACAATATACATTTTTGTCAATTGATTTCTCTTTCTCATTTCAAGTATCTATGATGGCTAAAAAGATGTAACTTCAGGAATCCAAAATCTCCAAAGATAATATATAGCATATTAGGACTTCATTTTTCTTGGTTACTAGTCAAAATAAATCTATACTTGGGCTTATGCTAGAAAATTTGCTGAAACTAGAACAATATTTCTGGGACATGTCAGAAAACCTTTACTATAGTTCTTCCCCTGTATATTTATTAGCCTGTTTTTATTTTCAGTCAGCTCAAGGGAATGTACATACTTAACGTTCCTGCCTATTTTTCCCACAGCAGTCCTCTTAAGTATTGCCACATTCCAGAAAATTGGTTGTGTTACCAAAATGAATGAAGAGCTAAACGTATTTTATAAGGAAATTTTGTCTTTTTAAATCTTTCATGGCGAAAAGCTTTTGTCAGGATCACTAACCCTGGTAAACCCAAGACATATTTACTGCTTTCTGGACAGAGTTCCCACATTTTCCTCCAAATTACGATTTAGGGGAGTTGCAAATATTTATATTTGCATGTCACAAAATGAGTGTTTTTAAATATATTAGCCACATCTCCTCAGATTTATTTTTTTCTGAATTCACATCAACAAGGCTCATTGTAATTAGAACCAAAATGCTTGATGTGATAAAGCCCTTAGGCCCTGATTTTCAATAGGAAGTCTGTAAGAGATCCTCCATGTAGACCAGTGGTTCTCAACCTTTTTAATGCCGTGACCCCCAACCGGTCGTAAGTCGAGGACTACTCAACCGGTCGTAAGTCGAGGACTACTCAACTGGTGCAGCACCGTTTGCAGAATGGAACTTTTGGTGGGCTCAGCAAGGCAGAGACAGCCTGGACAATTCCTATTGGCTTTTGAAAGCCAATAGAATTAGACTCTATTCAAGAGAGTCTATTCTATTGGCTTTCAAAAGCCAATAGAATAAAAAAGAGTAGCACAGCTAAGGAAAAGGGAAAAAAAATGGCGGACTGCATTGTTTGGTGACCCCTGTGAAATGGTTGTTGGACCCCAAATGGGGTCCCAACCCACAGGTTGAGAACCACTGATGTAGACTATCAAGTCCAAAATTTCTTGTACTGTACAAGTGAACAGACTAAACAGAATAGTATAACAAGCAGACTGACCGGAATTCCTAACAATCCATAGTTTCCTGATAATAGAAAATTGATGCTGGCTCACTCGGTATCACATAAACACAATTTCTCATAAGGAATGAAATAAGCTAACGGGCATAAGAAGTCAGGTCTCTTCTATATATTTGGGTTCAGAAAAGAATTGAAATGGGGAAAATAAATGTACAACCAGAAGATTTTACTGAGGAAAGTTTATTATGGTATTACTTTAAAAATACATATTTTAAATAAATACTTAAGACCAACATTAGTTTGTAAGACTATCAGAAGTTATGTTCAGATGCTTGAATACCAACGTTTTCCCCTTCTCATTCCTAGCCTTAGTCTTTAAAAATCCAGTTATTCTACTTTTTTTAAGTTTTGTTATCTATCAACTAATATCTAATGCATGGGATGAAAGTGAAAAACTAAATCCCAGCGTCTTCCTATGTACCTTTTCCCTGTGTTACTAGATTATAGAGACGAGACATATTAACATAGGTGACTGGTAAGTAATGTTACATCTTCATTTTCTATGGCTATTTTAGAACATCTTGCAAGATTTATCAGGGTCAGTACTGAGAGTTAACATGCGAGGCATCAGCAGTTTTCTATTAGACCATTTCTCTCCTGTGCTTTTCTTTCTCCTTCCATGTGCATCCAGCTGTGTTCTATAGCAGTGTTTCCCAAACTTGACAATTTTAAAGCATGTGGACTTCAACTCCCAGAATTCCACAGCCAGCATTGCTGGCTGTGGAATTCTGGGAGTTGAAGTCCACATGCCTTAAAATTGTCAAGTTTGGGAAACACTGTTTTATAGCAATGTTTCTCAACCTTGGCAACTTTGAGATGGGTGGACTTCAACTCCCAGAATTCCCAGAGTTGAAGTCCACCCATTTTAACGTTGCTAAGGTTGAGAAACCCTGTTCTACAGGATTCCCAAATCTCTAGAACAGATGTGGGGTTTATACCGGGAATAATTCTTTAGTTTCACTAGTCTACTCTCTCTCTCTCTATTCCACTGCAAAACGGACACTGTTGGATACAATTTACAAAGGAGTTGATCTGCACCACTCATTCAATTTATTCTTAAAATGCTTCTTATTTCCCAGATGTGGGGAAAAGATGAAATATGAAAAGACATTTGATTTACTCAACTGCTTACCAAAGGTACATCATCTGTAGATTCCCCGAGGAGTCAAACGAGGTTTATCTTCCAAAATCTGAACTAAATATGGTAGCCTATACTTAGATAAGACATTTCATTGCTGTTTCTTTAACACATAAAGGTCTCCTTGTGGCTATTCTTAAAATATCTCAATTCATCTGTACTGTTTTCATCACTGATAATACAAAATTATCTAAGTTTATAAAACTGTGCAAGAAGCCTAGTCAGGATTAGTTAACACTAATATTAAAAGTTGAGGTTTGCAAAAACACTTTTATCTCATGAAGTATTCCATTCAAGTCAGTGCATCATGATTATAAAACCGTGGAATGACTTCATCTTCGCAGTTGAGGGCTCTTTTGTTATCCATCTTCAAATTATTTTTCTGAAAGAGAAACGCATCCTTTTTAAAACCTATTTTAAAATAGGGGTTTTTTTTAGGTATGTACATGGATTGTGCACAGGGTAAAAATCTATTTTAAAGAATCCCCCATGGAAATCTCCAACTATCAAGTACAGAGGGATTATTTTCACAGACACTGTAGTTTTAGTTCTATGAAGGGCAATATAGCCATTATCTAAAAATGTATTTTAAATTCAGGGATAGACTGAATTTTCCTTAAGAAGCATCTCATGCCAAAGCCCTAATTAATTATGATTAAATTCACTAGTTAATTAGTTAATTAAATATGATAAAAGTCACTAGTCTGGTGAAAAGAAGGACTGGGGTGACATGATAGCAGTGTTCCAATATCTCAGGGGCTGCCACAAAGAAGAGGGGGGTCAACCTATTCTCCAAAGCACCTGAAGGCAGGACAAGAAGCAACGGACGGAAACTAATCAAGGAGAGAACCAACCTAGAAACTAAGGAGAAATTTCCTGTAAGTGAGAACAATCAGTGGAATGACTTGCCTCCACAAATTGGTGGTCCAACACTCCAGGGTTTTAAGTAGAGATTGGGCAACCATTTGTCCGGAATGGTCTAGGGCAGGGGTAGGCAACCTTGGCTCTTTTATGACTCGTGGACTTCCACTCCCAGAATTCCTGAGCCAGCACAGCTGGCTCAGGAATTCTGGGAGTGGAAGTCCACGAGTCATAAAAGAGCCAAGGTTGCCTACCCCTGGGATAGGGTCTCCTGCTTGAGAAGGAGGTTGGAGTAGAAGACCTCCAAGGTCCCTTCCAATTCTGTTAAAAACTTTATCCCAAGAATAAACTTTAAAAGCCAATCTTCGTTAAAACATGGCAACCTCTTTACTAGAACTAGTTAGCATGGAACAATGACCTAGTCTTAATTTAAACACTGTGATATAATATACAGGGATTTGGGCAGCACTATAAACCAGAAGCTACTTGGACATGATCAGTTAGATGTGCAGTTCCTCAAGTCCTCTTTGAACATAGGCCATTTTGCACAACTTATGAGCTGATTTATGCATTGAATGCTGCGCCATCCCTTGCATCCTGCACTAGCAGATCACCAGCAGTGCGCAGCATCTATTTCCACTTAAGAGGGCGCTCCAAGTTTCACATTAAAAAGTGCGGCCATTTCCCCAACACTCAGAATTTGGCTGCATTTCCACCTACAGTTTGAAGGATGCACTAACCTTTCCGTTTATTAAATACGTCTCCTCGATCCTGCATGTCTCTCCCCTCTCTCAGCTGCAGCGGAGAAAATGCAAATAAAGGGGAGAAGCTATTCTTTCTTTCAAGATGACTCAGGGGTGAGGATTTCCTGACATGTTCTGCATCAGACGCGTAAGGTTTTCCCAAAGGGCTAAGCACATCCTTCATTTCCAGGCTTGCTGGTCTGAGGTTAAACTCTGATCTGCACCTTGGCATTTGCTTTCCAGGAACCGGTGGGTGATCATGTAGAGTCTTTTTCAGCGCTTCGTACCGATTTAGAATAGACTGGAAATCTAACGTGCACTCATTTCCTGGCAGACAATCTGTCACATATTTGCCGTCTCTGGAGTTTTCTTCTCCTGAGTCATCCAAATCATGGATGCTATTAAGACTGATGGAGCCTCCTTCTTCTGGGAGAGTTTCTTGAAGTATGCCTAGCTGGATAACGTCATGGCTTTCAGAACCAGTACTGCCCATTGCTTGAGAAGCATCCCTCAACAAAGTTGCACAGATCGTAGAATTCTGACCCGCGCTGTGTGACAAAGCCTCTGATCCAGTATGGTTGCCAGAGCCACAGCTTACCTCATCTGCACTTTGATTTAGAGTCTTGAAGACGGGTTCCAGGTTTTCCACTTGACCTGGAGCAGCAAGGGACAATTCTTTCTTGCAAATCACTTCATCCCGTGGCCTAAGAGCCTCTTGGTGGCTCAGCGATTCGTCAGTAATGCCTTGCTGCAAACTACCCGGAGGCTCCACAGGCGACAAAAGCCACGTCAGACTTGAATCCACACGGTGTCTGAAGGCAGGAACTGTATTCGGCGAGAACTTTTCCGTTGCTTCGGAATGAGGCAAAGCCTCACTTGAAGGTGGTTCGGTCTCAATAGCCTTTTTCCATGAGCTTCTAATTTCTGTAACTGAAAATGAGTGATAAAAAGATTAAGTACAGTACTATAATTTTCTTTTTCTAAAAATTTACTTCTTCCTTCTACACACCACCTTTGAAACTATACTAAAAGAAAACATTCCCTCGGGACAGGGGTAGGCCACCTTGGCTCTTTTATGACTCGTGGACTTCAACTCCCAGAATTCCTGAGTCAGTCATAGCCAACTACATACTGTATCATCCTGAGTTACAGGATCGTCCTCTACTCTACCTGAGACTGGAAGGGCCTATATTTCCCCCACAACAACTCTGTGAGGTGGGTTGGGCTGAAAGAGAGTGACTGGACCAAGGCCACCCAGCTGGTTTTTCACGCCTAATGCGAGATTAGAACTCACAGTCTCCTGGTTTCTAGTCTGATGCCTCAACCACTAGACCAGGGGTAGGCAACCTTGGCTCTTTTATGACTGGTGGATTTCAACTCCCAGAATTCCTGAAGTCCATGAGTCATAAAAGAGCCAAGGTTGCATAGCCCTGCCTTAGGACATAGATTTTTAGAGCACTGTAACTTGGAGGAAATATAAAATCTTTTGTCCACATTTTGGGTAGAGAAGACCCTTGGTTTGAAACAGGGGTAAAGGAATAATCCGTGTATGTTAGAATAGAACAGCCCTCCCTCAACAGAAGAGGAATAAGACACCACAACGCAGCCCTTTCAGCAGCTCCAAGAAGACTCCACAACCAATTGCAATCTGATTCAGGTGACCTGGAGGGCACAGATAAACTCCCAAGTGGCCATAATGGCTCTCAGGGAGAGTGCTAATTGACCATATTACTACAACCCCCCCCCCCAATTCTTCCATCCTCCCTATCATCCAATCACAATTGATGAAGCTTTCTTGGATGACAAGCAATTTTTTTTTTCTTCTTCCCCAAGGAAAGAAAAGTCCAGCTGCCTTTTGGAAAAAAAAAAAAAAAAAAAGCACCTCTGAGACAACTATGACCTGGATGATTAAGAATCTCCGTGGACATTTGGAGAAAAAGGTTTCTTTGTAAATGCCCATCTCTGAATGTAAAGGTATTATACTTGTATTGCTCTGTTTGTCACATACAACAGCATTGCAGCTCTCAGCTATGACTACTGGAAAATCCCCGTCTGTCTCCTACCCCCAACCCCACCCCAATTTAAACCCTACACCCCTCTAGCCACTCTATGCATCTGATGAAATAAGCTGCATTTCATTCAAGCTTTTAAAATCTGTTAATCATAAAATGTGCTACCGAACTCTGATTGTCACCTGTTACCCACAATACTGAAAGATCCGTTTCGCAAACACTTTATTTCATCTCTTTGCCGACTTGAAGAAATAACTTTACAAACAAACAAAGAGGAAGATCGAGGATACACATTTGACTTTTATTATATATTAGTGGTAACTCTAGAAACTGCCAAGTAGAAGGCCCTTTTTGCCTGCAGATAGTCCTCGGGTTACGTTAGTAATTGGGACCAGAATTTCCATTGCTAAGTGATATTGCTCATAAAGTGCAATATCCTGTTTCTGCATTGCTTAGTGACAGCAATACTAGTAGACTCTACTATATCACTAAAAAGCAACAGGGAAGCAATATACAGTACATAAAGCTCTTTTTTGTACCTTATGAGAAGAGGCTTATGTTAACAGGTTTTCTGCTCATCAGAGACAGACAGAAGACAGGCTGACACACATCCTTCTGATGGGGGATTATAAACAGTCTTGACTTCCTTAATGGGAGCCTAGATGGTCTGGCCAAGGTGGGGGAAAATAGGGTAAGAGATCTGAATATAATTCTTATTTACTCTCTTTGGGAGGATCATAGTTAACGGGAAGAAGCTAATGCTTTCTACTATTTGAGAACTGTTAGGATCTTGTCTTCTAGTACAGCGGTTCTCAACCTGTGGGTCGCGACCCCATTTGGGGTCAAACAACCACTTCACGGGGGTCGCCAAACAACGCGGTCCGCCATTTGTTCCACCATTTTTTTTCCCCTTTTCCTTAGAGCGAGCGACCACCTTAGCTACTCCCTCTTATTCTATTGGCTTTTGAAAGCTAATAGAATAGACTCTCTTGAACAGAGTCTAATTCTATTGGCTTTCAAAAGCCAATAGGAATTGTCCAGGCTGTCTCTGCCCTGCTGAGCCCGCCAAAAGCCCCAGTCTGCAAACGGTGCTGCAAGGCGAACAGTCTGGAAAGCTTCCCTCCCTGCTGAGCAACTAAAAAGTAAGTAAAAGAGGGCCGCGGGTGGGAGGCCGGTGGGCGTAGGCAGGGTTGCTGCCGCGGCCGCCCGGGAGCGCCTGGGCCTGCCTGCACCGCCCCAAATGGGCGGCAGACAAGGTAAGGCTAGCCAGGCAGCAGCAGGCACAGGGAGTGTTGCTGGCACGCGTGGGGCCTGGCGGGTGCCTTGTCTGCCTTGGGCTGGGCCAGCTGGTGGCCCAGTCAGTGGTCGCCCTGCGCCGTCGCTGCCGCGGCCGCCCAGGAGCACCTGGGCCTGCCTGCCGCCGCCCCTTGCCAGCTATGCCTCAGCCGGCGCAGGGGGCAGCACCACGCATGCGCGGCGTTCCCGGGCAGGGAAATACAAGTAGTCCTCGACTTACAACTGGGGTCACGGCTATAAAAAGGTTGAGAACCACTGTTCTAGTAGGTCTTTTCCTCTGACAATCCAGTGGGGCAATATACAGGTAATCCCTGAGTTACGAGCATTTACTTAACACTCATTTGAAGTTACGCGACAAGTACCCCCTATTACTTACGAGCAAGTCCCAAAATCACAAACACTGCTGCTCTGCGTGGCCCCAATGCGCTCTTAGAAACAGAGCAGAAGGCTCCATTTCCCAAGTGCCCCATTCCAGGCATACGGAGCCTGCAGGCTGTCAGGTCTCCTCATACGATATTACAGGCACCCAGGAGCTTCCATCGACTCTCCTCTCCCTCAAAGGCAGAACCCGCGGTAGAGACGGATCTTTTCAAGATAAGTGAGTCTGGCGCAGTTGGAAGGGAGAGGGAAGCATGAGGTATCTTAATGAGTCGGGGAGGTCTTTGGGGTGTGTTCCATTACTAGGCCCCTCCATGGCCTTCTCTACCCTGATATCCCCTGTGCACTTTTGATGGCATGTGTTAACAAGCAGGAAGTGATCTTGTTCGAGGTACGAGATTCACTCGCACGAATTCTCGAGTTACAAATGGAATGGGCAGGCTCCACTTCATTCATAACTCGAGAATTACCTGGAACAAATATCTGAAGGAAGGGCTTTTGGGGCAGGAAAGAAGGGAAGGAGAGTAAGGCACTGCAGCTCCCATGTTCCAATCCGCTAGAAGGAAGTTGCTTAGCCCAAAGTTCTATATTTTAGAAAGTCCACTTGTACTAGCAATATACCAATAGCTAATATATAGGAGATCTATAAGAAGCTTTATCATACAAATAGATGCATTGCTGGCACTAGTTGGTCTTTTTTATTCCTGACAGCGATAATCAATGGAAGAGAAGACAAAAATAGAGAAACACAGTAGTTCACAAAAATAACAGTAAAAATAAACAAAATGTGAAAATGGGCATAATGCCAAGTTTCAAAAATACTCCACTGGAACTTTCATTTTGAGGGGTGCTTTAGTGTGCCGTATTGTTTGACTATATACCATAACCATAAGCAAAATCATATCCTCAGAAACTGTAAACCCATATCAATTTCAGGATGACCGAATGTACTGCAATGTAACATTATGAATACTCACTCAGATTTTCTGGAGTCCGTGGAATCTGTTTCCTTGTTAAGAAAGGATTTGAGATTAAGGTACTGATCAGATCCCCTACATCCTTCCCAGTGTTCTGGGCTGAATCAGATATTACTACATCTGCCACCTGCAAGAAAATATACATGCTTAAGAGAGACAAGCCACAGCTACACTGCTGAAATATGCTAGCTGTAGATGACCAAGATGAGCCTGAGGGAGAGGTCAAAGGTGTCATAAGTCACAAGTCCCTTCAGGCCTACACAGGGTGGATTTGATTTAAATCACGATTTAAATCACTGGTAAAAAGGCTTGATCTAAATCAACTCAATTTAAATCAGAATTTTTAAAGAGCAACTGTCATCTCTATCCTGCAGTGGCTCCTTCTCTGACCCGCTGTTGACTCACCAACAGTCCCATTCACTTTAATGGGATGGCTGGTGATGTGGCAGTGACACAACAAGGTGAGGGACGTAGCAGGCAGCAGGTGAGCGGATGCCTGCTAACAGGTGCTGCCATGATGGATCTAAAATAACAGGTACTCTTTAAATGTAAGGACTCATTTTTGCTGGTAGTTAGAATCTTTTAATATTATTATTTGCAAACAAAATGAAGGTTTCCTATTTAGAATAATAAGCTGTCAGGTTAGTAAAACAGCGATACCAGAACCGATTTTAGGTTAATAGGATAACCATACATCATTGGAGAACTCAATTTTTTTTTATTTAATTAAAACACTTAGAGCCTGGTACAGATGCATTTCTCTTCAAACAATCATACAACTCGTAGTGTACATAGATTTGCAAAACAATGGGATAAAGGAATATTCCTGAACTTTGTTTTATGATTTATCTCATGGTTACTGTGAAATTGTATGAATGCATCAATGCAGTGCATGTTATCTCAGCTTGCAGAGCTTGGATTCATTGAATGAGTTTACCAAAAATGTAAATATTGCAGAATGTACAGCCTCATGCTGCATAACTAAGCTCCATTTCATGCTGAATAAACTAAATTATTAATGTATCTTAAATAGAAAACTATCTTTAGATAGATTTTTACTCCAAAGGCAATTTAATAAAATAAATTTGATATAAAAATAAAAAAAATCTGATTTAAAGAAAATCCAATTTAAATAAAAAAAATCTGATTTAAACAAAAAAAAATCTGATTTTTTTTATTTTTTAAAAAATATCATTGATTATTATCCATCCCGTGCCCACAAGAGATCTAACTACAGCCCACCCTGAATGCCTCTCTTATCTCCTGCTCATTTCCCTTAACAGTCAGTTGGTCAGATTCTTGTAAAGAGCTTAAGTTTGCAATAAATCTTTATATTCATTTTGAACTGCCTGAATCTCCAGATTTCCCCAGTGCTTGACACTATCCTTGGGAATTAACCTGCCTCTTGCCCCCTTCCTTGGCATCTACTACTCTGCTTATCCTGAGTTTCCCTTAATTTTAGAATCTGTTTTATTATTTAAAGTGTGATTCGATGTTGCATAATTAAAAAAATGAAATGAGTACACAAGGAAAGGCAAACATTATAGTTAATGCAAATTAAGTCAAGCATAACCTAAGAAACTACAGACATTATGATACTGCCAGATTCTTCATGATTTTCACTTGAACCCTCAGATATGCTCTGGGCTATTTTTCAACCCTCTGAAAGAGGATGGAAAATGCTGGGGAAAGTATGTTTCTCCAGCAGATTGTCCTGCAAGTAGGTAACCAGCACCGAGTACCACATAATATTCTACATTTTTAATAACATAGATATTATCCTTGCATTGACTTGTCTGATAAAAATATTGGATTTTTAATTTTTACTTATGGCCCATCAAGCTCTTTGCTTTTTATGTAAATGAGCATCCTCAAAAAACTTCAGATTGTGCAATTACTAACGTTTATCTGTTTAACATACTCTTTACCTGTTCAGCCAGCTGTTCTTGGGCTTTCTTTAAAGGATCTTCATTTTTAGCTGATGAATGTGTTCTAACTGGATCAGCTTGTCTTTTATTCCCACTTTCTCTTTGTCTAGAATGTCTTCCTTTATACTCTAAGATTTGAAACCGTGAATTATCAGTCCTCTTGGGAGTTTCGACATTTGATGTCTGAGGGAGAGGGGAAAAAAATGAAAATTGAGCTTGCAAGTGTAGACCAATATTTTATATTTGCAACAACTGCATTTTCATTTTCATTGCATATCTAGTATCTAGGCTCAAGAAAAGATGGGCCAACCGTTAATATAAGATTCCACTAGGACCAATGAAAATGGTGGATTACCTTTTCGGAATGTGGGGCAAGTTTCAAGGTCCTAAAAATATAAGAAAGCCTTATTATTAAATGTACACTGTTAAAAAGCATGTACCTGTACAGCCGCTAAAACCTATATGCCCCGTATCTGTCCGTTACAATTTCTCTCAATTCATCCCGGTCATCAAAAGGCAATATTGTTATAGGGAGAGCTTGTGACAATTAGAGCAAAGCTTTTCTCTACTTGAGTATCAGCTTCCCATGCATGCAAGTTGTGTGCATATATCAGGAATAAAAGCATACACACACAAAAATGTTAGCAATGATTCCTGCATACAATATATCAACATTATGTTGCAATTTTAAGATAACTTATTAGAGTTAGCTAGAAAGAAAGATTTACATCTCCTGGACCCAAGAGAAAAGATGAAGAAAAAAAATATAAAATCAATATCTAGTTTTAACACTTTGCAGTATATGTTCTGAGGTACAATTTGAATTCTGTTTTTATCTTCTGATACAGATGCATCTAGCTATGCTTCCATTTAGAGAATCACCTATAATCTAAATCTACATTCTAATTCTTTCTAAGGCGTGGTCCCATGTTATTTATACAATGTTAATATATGCTACTATTCTATACAAGGACATATTAAAATCATACCTTTCTGTTACTGTCTTTGTTGAATAATCTTCATTTCCCAGTGTCTTCTCAACTGTTGCAAATTCATTTGCCTGAACATTCTTTTTGGTCGAATCTAAATACATTTTTCAAAAGTGAATCAAGAATTGTGTTTACTTAATAATATAAATATTTACCATATCACTAGTTCTAAGGAAATATTGTTGTATTTAAGGGTAGTCCTATCAGACCCAAGCCCAAAGATGAGATAGTGAAATCCAATCGAGTCCAATCCTTTTATTTGCCTACACCAGGGATAGGCAACCTTGGCTCTTTTATGACTCATGGACTTCAACTCCCAGAATTCCTGAGCCAGCCATGCTGAGGGGAAAGGGAGAGATTTCCAAGATGAGCCATGCCGGCTCGGGAATTCTGGGAGTTAAAGTCCACGAATCATAAAAGAGCCAAGGTTGTCTACCCCTGGCCTACACCTAACGTAAATGCCAGCGTATCAGACGACTTCCGCGAGCGCTGAAATTGGCGCCAAAGACGGGGGTCGTCTTATACGCCGAGTCATACGCCGGAAATACTGGTAGTTTCCGGCGTATAAGACGACGTTCTAGGAATGCGGCCCGGCTATAAAGACGGGGGTCGTCTTATACACCGGGTCGCCTAATATGCCGGCATATACGGTAATAGTCACAATCTTACCAAACTAAAGCTATAATTTTCTAAGCTACTAGATATATTCAGAGATTCTAGGTTGTCCTTACCCTGCACCTCTTCCTCCCTCCAGCTCTAGACTGCGCAGTCTCTTGATCTGGGTCTCTTCCTGGAAACCCTCTCAGTTGTCAAAATCCTCCCCCTCTGCTACTGCAGGTACATATTCCTATTATAAATCCTCAATTTACAACCATAATTGAGCCCAGAATTATGGTCATAGTTCGTTAACAGTCATAAACTGAGACACCCATGTGACCAGAACTGATCTTTTTTGGGGTGGTCATTAAGCAAGTGCCGCAGTTGTTAAGCAAACATATTCATTTGACAGATTAATTTTACACTGTGTGAAGCAGTACTACCTTGTGTCTGTTTTAAATCATCTTCTAATTAGCTTCATTGGATAACTATCAATCCTAGTGTTTTAAGAAAGGAAAGTTATCTTTATGTTTACCATGTTATTTTATACATACAATCATATACTCTACAGTCAGTTATCTTTTTTTTCTAACTTAAGAGTCCCCCAAATTCTAGCCTTTTGTCCTAATTAATTTGGCAATTCCTTTTCCAAATCTATATTTTTTTCCAGAAATGTACTTACCTTCCCTTTGTTTAACAATCCCCAGCATCACAATCACTTTTCTCACAGCTGCCACACTTTAATATATTCATTGAGCAATCGGTATGACCAAGTAATTTATTATAGACAGCTCAATCCTATCATCTATATGTGAAGTTAAGAGGAGTGCTCCAATGTAAATCATTTCACACTTATTTAAATTGAAGTATATTTGCTACTTAACTGTTTTTCCTTGTTTAAAGAAATCATTCTGGAGTTTTGTATGGCCACGAGTGGTTGGCTTAATACAAAAACTCAGCAAATTTATTGCTTTGTCTCTAAGCAAGATCACTGACAAACAACGTAAAAAGAAACAGTCCCAACCCCACATCTTTAAGGGGCTTCCATTTCTTTGTCCTTGTATATCTGTTTTGTGGTTTTCCTTTTATATTGTTACTAAGTCATAAAATGGCAGGTACTTTTAACCCACAATTGCTAAATTTGATGGGAACCTTTGTCAAAAGTCTTTTGAAATTCCAAATGTGGAATGTCAACAGGAACATCTCTCTGTTTTTATTTATACTCTTTTAAAAACAATTCTAGGAAGTGGGCGAAGCAGGATTGCAAAGGGTGATCACATGATCGCAGGGCAACTGGTCATAAACGTAAACATAAATGTGTCTGAAATATGGTCATGTGACTAAAGGAAGAATGGTGTGACATTTTATGATGTCCAGAAGTTCTTAATGAATCATAAACCACCCCTTCTGTAGCTTTCATGACTGTAAAATGTTGTTAAATGCCTGTTTGTAAGTAGGGGACTACCTGTATTGCCCTTTAAATTAACATAGTGCTATGTCAGAAAGGCTGTATATAATATCTATATACTAAAGATCATGGGGATAGGTTTGTAAAGAATCTTAGTATTTACCTGGAATTAATGCAGGGTACTGACTGAAGACACTGCTTTTATACGCTTCCTCAGTAGCCGGAGTAAAAGAAAGAGGAGACATAGCGGGTAATAAATCAAGTGCCTTTAAAAAAAATAATATATTGAAATGTTTAGAATTCAAATACACATACACAAATAAAATAAGTTAGAAAGCCAGTCTATTTTAAGTTCAAAAGATTGGATATCTGCTGTGTTTTGCCTCTAGTTCCTTCACTCTTATGCTTTTAACCAATTTTAAGCTGTGATATACCAGATGACATGAGTTCTAAGATCTTTTATGCCATAATTATTTATTTCATGAAATAAGTAATTATGGTATTAAAGATCTTAGCACTGTGTTTACCTTAACAAACAATTCATACAGAGCACAGGGACATGCCTACTGGAACTTTTAAAGTCAAAATTTGTTTGGATTATATACTGAAAACATCCTCAAGATGAATATATTCCTTCTTGTTCAATACATTACCTATCAAACATATACTTACAGGGTTTGGATCCTTAATTAAATGAAAAGGTGACTGGCCAAGATAATTTTTCCACTTCAAGTGCCATTCCTGTTGTTTTTCAACAATTGATTGAGTTACTGAGATATGATCATTACATTTTAATTTTTGCCTATGGAAAAATTGTTAACAAGAATATTGGAACATTTTTAGCTGAATCAAAGATTTTACAAATAAAATCATTTGCTCAAGTGCATTTGTTTTGTTATAAAAACACAACAGGCTGCATTCAGTATTAAGAAGGTGACATCATTTCTGCAGTACAATTTTCTAAAATTTGTACGTGTTCCAAATCTCCTCTGGATCCTAATCGTCTTCAGCATTGTTTCTCAACCTCAGTAACTTTAAATTCTGTGGATTTTAACTACCATAATTCTGAACTTCTGCCAGAAGTCAACAGACTGTGCCTTAAAATTCCTGATAATGAAAAACATTGCTGTGCAGCATATCTAAAGTTACAATATTTAGTTACAATAGGGAGACAAATTCATGTATTCTGCTGACATGCTGGTAGTATTTGACCTATCACACAAACCATTGGCTCTGAAAACATTATTAAAACATTATATTAGTTACAATATACCACAATCCATGTTTCCCAGGAAAAAGAAAACAACATTGCACCTAATGATAAACTAATAAATGCTGTAAAAAGTCTAAATGGCAACCAGCAAAGCTTGTCCTTAAATATATTTAATAGTCCATTAAAGATCACAATATTTTCCCCCCTGAAATTTGACAAGAATATTTCTCACAAACTAGCAATTGAAGAGTGTGTTTGTTTGTTAGAGTTAACTGTACTTTAATAACACAAACCTGCAAATAGTTCTTGGTGTATCATCATATGGATGTTATGAACTTGCCACAATATACAAATGAGAAAATTCCAAGGTTTTGTTTACATAATCAGACTAAAATGAGTAATATATCTACATCGTCTTTTCTTTCTTCCAACACAACTTTAAGTTTACAAAGACTATTAAAGCATAAGATTTTCTCTAATGTTGACACCAGGCAGCTGATGCCCAATAAACTAGGATCAATAAATTATGGATAATTGCCTGGTTCAGATTTAGGTATTATTTATATTAAGTAATCAGTATGGATTGAATTAAAATACACAGCAGTAAAATGCAAACTGCACAATCCTAATGGTTTTAAGTAATTCCATAACATCTTTATTAAAAGGTTTGTTTGGAAGGCTGCTGAATCCACAGAACAGAGACCTCTGAACTTACCTCAGTGACTTCAGCCCCAATAAAGTCTCATTCTGGAATCTGGTGTTTCCTTCAAGAGCCTGAAGGTCTACTTTGAATGCTTTCTTGTCATAATGCCGGCGCTCATGCAGCAATAACTCCAAGGCTTTGGTTAGCAATTGGATAATGGTTAATATGTTCAGTTTTCCCATTTCATACACATTCCCAACAGGAAACTTTAAAAAAGAAAAAAAATGGTTAGCATTTACTGAATTAAGAGCATAACTGTGTGTGCAATGTCTTGCACAGGGCATAAAGTTACACACACTAGTTGGCATTATCCTCACAAATGATCCTATCATTTTTTTTACTTGGTTTATCAAGCCCTTCTGCTGGAACTAAGCAAAACTCCAGAATGACTAGGAAGTACTGGTTAGACAAAGGAATGTTTTATTTGGTAGTTTGCCACATATTAACTTAAATTTCCCTCTGTCTGTTTCTTAAAAATCATTGCTTTTGTAATGCTTGCTTGAATAGTTTTAGCTTTAAGGTAGAGGTAAGCAAATCTGGTGATTTCTGTCATTCTTAGATATTTAATTCTTCCTATATTTGCACTGAAACATTTGGTTACAGGGAGCCAGGAAAGCCTACCTTTTAAAATGTTATCTTATGAAAAGGCCTATTAGAAGCTAAGTAAAATGCGCTTTATACATTTTCCCATTAAGAGACTTTTTTTGCCAACTTTAACTATCCTGTTTTATGCTTGTCCATGTTATTTGTCATAAGAAATTATTCTCTGGAATTAAACTTTTCTCCTAAATATTCCTTTTTGTGTCCAAATAGTTTCAAAGAACATATATTTTGGTTATACAAACAGGTGAAATACTCCTAAATCTTTTAATTTTACAGGAATAAAACTGAGCTTATTTTGGATTAGTTGAAACTACCAATCATGTGCTTTAAATGCTATCTGGGAAGTATTCAAGTATTTTTTTTTTATTACAATCTAACAATGTCTCCAATTAATTTCTCTATTTTTTTAACCAATCATAGCATCAACCAATCAATTTCGATGCATTAATCAAGTGATAGCAAGAAGCAGAACAATTATTCTACAAATATTGACTATCTGAACAGAAGCACAGATATCAAGAAACTTACTTTGTACATTTCTTTTTCTACTTTTTGAAGCAGAGGCCTTGGAATGCTAACAGAAACACTTGTGCCATCTAATGTATACTGATCAACATGACCTTTTACCACTGAATCCACTACTTCTCTTTCTTTTTGCAAAAATGTCACTGTTTCCATTACTGTTGCCCATAAACAGCGAACCTTTGGAGGAAAACAAAAATATTTTTCATCAAGCAGAAAAAAATGTGCAACTAAATAAATGTTAAATGGAGATTATTGAAAACCTGTTGACAGCTACTCACTTTTTCAATTCTTTCTGCATTATTACTCTGGCCAGAATCAACTTTTTTCCCCATTCTAACCAAACAGTGACAAACAAACAAACAAACAAAAGTTATTAAAGATAACAATGTTTATATTGTAACTGTTCTTATTTTTCTGATAAGAGAATAGCAATAGCAGACGTATAAATGAGGGTATCATATTTAAAAACTCTGTTGCTCATAACTTGTAGCCTGTCATATTTATCTTATAGGAATTGCATTCCTAATATGTTGTTGTTATTATTATTAAACCACTGTACAGTGGTTAAGTGCAGTATTGTAGGCAAACTCTGCCCAATCTGGAGTTCGATCCTGACAGGGCTCAAGGTTGATTCAGCCTTCCATCCTTCTGAGGTCGGTAAAATGAGGACCCAGACAGTTGGGGACAATACGCAAATAATGCTGACATTGAAACCCGCCCAGAAAGTGAAGTAAAGCACTACGTATATAAGACAGTATATAAATCTAAATGCTATTGCTGTTTAAGAAAACAGGAAAACAACATAAATCAGCTATAAGATGCAATTCTAATAAAATATTACTTGCTTTTGCAATCGTTTGTCCAGATCCATATTTCTGTATCTTAAATCTCTGATTTGCTTAGTAAAAAGACTGTGAACAGAAAAAGCAAGCCAGTTAAGTTCTGTGGATGAAAAAAAAAACTATGAAATATTATCAATTAATAATTATTGACAATTCAAATTATGAATTGAATTTTTTTCATTATCAAGTATCTTTTTCAATATCAGCAAGTAAGAGAATAATCTGAAATAGACTCTTACCTATCAAACTATCCTGTTTTGTAACATTCAACATCTTGCCTACAACTTTATAATCTACAGATCACGTTTGTAGCCACTTTACTTACAGTGCTTTTTTCTGAAGTTCTTGAATCATCAAATCTTCTTTCTGTAGACACTGTGAAAATCTGTTCAGTGCCACTTGACATTTTGCAAGAGCCATAGTCAAGTCTGGAGATCGTAAGTTCACCGCTTCTGGATTGGGTATGGCAGCACCTACAAAAAATGATTCCGGAATCTACATTGGGAAATATGAACTCAACCACCACCAAAAGGCAGCAGTATTTTAAGACAGGGCTTTTCAATCTTTTCACTCATTGTACCACTTTTAGGCAATATCCGAGTACCACCAGTTGCCTAGCAAGGTGTTAAAAACTTGATGACCAAAAAAAAAAAAAAAAAAGGAAAAAAGTGATACAGGTAGTCCTCGACTTACAACAGTTCGCTTAATGACTGTTTGAAGTTACAATGGCACTGAAAAAAGTGCCCGCCAAGCCACAGCCGAGCAAAACACCTGCCTGCCCACCCAGCAGTGCTCTTCCTCCTGTTCAAGGTTTTCATTGTTGTGAGCATTTCTGTTGGGGATTAGCAGCAGAGGTGGGGTGGGGGGTGTTTGGTTTCTATTCCATCCGTCTGCTGGGTGGTTGCAGCAGGTTTTAGTCACTTCACATGACCCTGGGACACTGTGACCGTCATAAATATGAATCAGTTGCCAAGCATCTGAATGTAAATAACAAGACCCTGGAGATGCTGCAAGATTCCAGCTGATTAGTGCTTCTTCTGGGCTCAGCAGAAGCACCAGGATCAGCGCTGAGCTCCAGCTGGAGCCTGGCGCTGATCCTGGCACTTCCGCTGAGCCCTGATAGCCCTGCAGCTCCAGCCTCTCTCGCTCAGGCTTGTGCGGTGCTGCCACTGGTTCAGCTCATTCCCCTCCCCCACTACCGCTTTTCCAGGATGGTCGTGTACCACCTGCCAGGTGCCAATGTACCACATATGGTACTCGTACCACTGGTTGAAAAGCCCTGTTTTAAGACATCCAAGCCTCTCAAACAAGCAAGAGGCAGAAAAGCAGGGTAGAAGAATGACTATGGTGAAAGCATGGTATCAGGACAACCTCATCTATCTGTGGTCTGATAATTTCAGAATGTACCCAGGACTACTTCAATGAAGAACGATTATTTCCAATTTTTAAAACCTTTTGATATTTTGTCCCACTTCTGAACGTTTCCTACAATGAATCCATGAAAATAGCCTGCTGTACAGGCAAATTCCATAGATGATACAAAGCTAAAGCTGACAAATTACATTTTATCAGAACCCACTTCACCTTCCGCTATACAATTTTGCTCCAGAAGTAGCTAATCTTTAAATCTGGTGCCATAAAAGCAAACACACAAGCAGGCAGCAGGTACAGCTACCGGTAGTCACATTAATTTGAATAACTCATTGGAGAATCATATATTTATTTTTCCTTTTGAATAATTTAAATGTTACAGGTATTTGTTCTTTCATTAGATTTTGTCATATAACCCTATCCATTATTTTTTCAAAATTATTATATTTTTTTTTCAAAAATATCAGGCTCATCTTCAAAGTACTTTCCATATTTGAAAATTATGACCTGTGTGAGCGTGCCAATATAACAGATCATATACATCATTTTTTTGTTTTTAAATATGTAATTTAAAAAAATTGTAGTGCTGAGGTGCAATTAAATTATTACATTTAGCAAGGATTCTGCAATAGGGTCATAATTAATGCCTGGAATATGCAGATGGCTGAGTCCTTGGACATACCACCCGTATGCAACTTTTCTCTGTGTGCCAATCCCAGGTGTGCACCTTGGTTTAGCTAGGAACTCAAGAAAAATCAAGTGTCAGAAGAGAAACCTAAAGCACCATCGAAGGAAGACTCATAGCTAGTCTGACCAAATATAGGGAAAAGCTGACATCTGGGAGTATCTTGTAGTGATAAGTATGGGAAAACACCAATACCATTTCACCCTTATTGCATTTTATCAAATTTAGAAACCACCCATCTCTCACACAGAGACACTCTGGGTCAGACATGTCAAACACAAGGCCCAGGGGCTGGATGCGGCCCACAAAGTGGTTTCATGTGGCCCGCGAAGCCATCTGGAAACAGTGAGGGAACGGCCCCCGCTGCCTTGGCCCTGGCCAGCCAAGAGCCAGTGTACAATTTTGTGGTGGCCATCTTGGCACTTGCCCCGGTGGACCACGCCTTGGCACTTGCCCTGGTCCCACCCCCTTCTGACAGAGACCCTCAGATCTGTTCCACTCCTGCCCAGGCCCCCACAGACACCCTTGACGAGAATGATGTAGAGCTGGCCACGCCCACCCAGTAGGCCACACCCACTCCATCCACGCCCACCCAGTAGGCTGCACCCATTCTGGCCACACTCACCTGGCCCCCCCAAGGGCAACCACAATGGTGATGCAGCCCTCAGTGAAATTGAGTTTGACACCCCTGCTCTGGATGGTATACAAGTAAAATATTGAAACCAAAAACGGAATCTAAAATTTAGATGTGAGGTAAATAATAGTTAAAATTCAACATTAAAAGTTAATTATAAGGATGGAGGAGGGACCAGACCCCCCAATCTTGTGCTCCTCCATGAGCCCTAAGCAAGGGGGCAAAGCCAGGTCCTTAGACGTTTCTGAAAGGCCAGAAGAATGGGGGGGGCTAGCCTCACTTCTGGGGAATTTTCCATAGGGCAGGGGCAATGGCCGAAAGGGTTCTCTTCCTGGACCCTGCCAGTTGAAATTCTTCAAATGATGGGATTCACAATATGCCTTTCCTGCTCCACCGGTGATGGGACAGACTGATGTAATGGGCAAAGATAGTTCTATAGGTAAGCTAGACGCATGTTAATGTAGAACTTTAAAGGTCATAACCAAAACTTTAAATTGGACATGTAAGGTGGTAATTTATTAGTATTTTAATTATTTTAATTCATAATTTTAGTTATAATTTTATTGGTATTTATTTCTATTTTGTTCAATATATTTATTTTGTATAAAGTGATCAGGTTGTTCTCTATTTTTATTGTTTACTACACTGTGAACTCCCTGGAATGCGTTTGGAATTGAGTCTGTCTAATTTGAATTAAATAAATGAAAACTAAAAATGCCAAGGAGAAACTTTTTCATCATTGTTGATGATCCCCCAACATCTTGTACTTGCAACAGAATGCTGGATGGATTCCATCGACCGCTCTTTGCTTGCAACGATCTTTCACGGTTTATTTAAAACCTTCTGAGGTAGGTGGCTTTATGTGAGGAAGTTCCTCACTAGCATGAATTTCCCATAAAAAAGTAAATTCCAAAATTCTGTTTCCCCAACGAAACAGTATAGTAAACCTAAGAGCAGTACAAAAATAACCCCCATTCTTCCATGATTTCTTACCTAGAGAATCTACTTTAATATGATGCATTATTACATATCTTGCAAAGTGGAACATTAGATGAATGAATTTGGGTCCACCAGGAGAAAGAAATAATGATGCAACAACTGGAGGAAAACTATTTCCACATTCATCCTAGGGATTTAAAAATACACAAGTGAACTATAGTTGGTACTATCAACTTCAAGCTCTAAAGAAGTTAGAGAAGAAGTTCTCTTTAAGCAATAGAGCCAGCATACTAAAATCTGACAAACAATTATGATTACCTTGCTAGACATCGGAGGCCTGCATAAGGCAACTATATAAGCATTCCTGGGCCAAAAGGGATGTTTCACAAATTCTCTTCATATTATCTTAATTGCATAGCATGCTAAAAGAATAGCTTTGGTTTTGCTCAAATCCAATTAGCTTGAATTCCCTGATTGCATTTTCATGCTACTATTATTCAACAAGCTCTGAATATAATCCTGTATTTAACAGAACACAAATGAGTCTCCAGAAGACGACTATAACCAGATACTAATGATTGATCCTGGATGGAAAGTAGTTTTGTTGGTCAGCTATCTTCAGGTCTGGGGAGATAAGACCTATAATGAGAATTAAAAAGAAGAGGAGACTCTTCTGTTCTATGTTCTTGCAAAGTGATTTCTCTCTGTTGAATGCTGCTTAGCTTTCCATTTTAGTTACTTTTTTCTGGTTAATACTTGCATAATACTATATTTGAAAAAGTATTGGCAACGAGAAGAAATTAATATTCTCGAGGTATGGCTGTCAGAATCCTTGATGCCATTCGTTCTGAGACTAATAGGAGCTTTAGTCCAAAGTGTCCAGAAAACATCAGGTTGCCTAAGAAAGGACAGTAATAAGAGCAAGAAATATCTCATCAAGCATCAGTGACAAATTTTAGAGATAGTCTTTCAAAGGCAATCTCATACAAATACACAAACACACACACACACACACACACAGAGAGAGAGAGAGAGAGAGAGAGAGAGAGAGAGAGAGAGAGAGAGAGAGAGAGAGAGAGAGAGACATATAAAGCTACTATATGGACACCTTTTCATTCTTACCAATACTTACTGATATCCTTTTTAGCCATTCATAGCATTGCTTCCTGAATTCAGAGTCTGCCTTTTTATCTGAGGGAGGATAACAAAATCTTTCCATTCCAAGGGAAAGGAAAGAGAACAATTTCAACAAATGTGCAAGGAATCAGATATAGTTTTAAGGTAGCTGAGCAATACAAAATGTTCCTGGCAAAGTTTAACTACATTGCGTTACTGCATATTTACTTAGCTTTTACCATAGAACAGTGGTGGCGAACCTATAGCACGGGTGCCAGAGGTGGCACTCGGAGCCCTTTCTGTGGCCACACGTGCCGTGGCCCACGCGGAGCAACACAGCCAAGGACATGGCAACCAGGCAGTGTAGACAAGACTCTGCCCTCACACCCCATCACGCAGTTGATGCTGCGAGGCGTGGACAGAGGGCGTGGCCGCCATGGCGCTGCTGGGCTGCCTGGGCAATCTGGGGCGGGCCCTGGAGACAGTGAGTGGCCTTGTGGGCAGGCGGGGGGCGGGTCAGTTTTTCGGTACTCAGTCTCTAAAAGGTTCGCCATCACTGCTATAGAAGCATCTTATCAACGAGAAAAATACCTATACATCATTGTGCTGTAGGTCTAGAATAATTCTAATAAGGCTGGACCAGTGATACAGAATTTCTCTTGAATAAAGGCTTCCAGCAAGACTTCCCAGCATCAGAATGGAGCTCCTCCTGGCCATAGTTCTTTGCTTTTTTTGGAGCAGCAAAAGAATCTTCAACATTATAACATACTTTCATGCTTCCAGTTCCACTTCAATACAAGTTATAGAATAGGGTAGCATTGAAAATATTAATCTTTTGGGGGGAGAGAGGAGGCATTATGGTATAAGAGAATGACAACAATATTTTGATGAGCCATGAGAGAATCATTCTAACAATTTCCTCCAGTGAGGAGAGTCATATAGCAAGATTACTCAAGTCCTAATAATCATAATTTTAGTTTGTTATGAACTTGGCAAGTAACTTTAAGAAAAACTAAGTAATAAAGCATATTTTATTAAATGTTACACTCACCTAAAAACCTCATTACAATGTGACCGGTCCAGCTTTGAAAATAAGAACCACGCAACAATGTGAAATGCATCTTTGTTTGGTATATCAAACAAGTTCCTTAAAAAAAAAGTTTAAAAATCATTACTCCATATGCAACTGTAGGATAATTAATTGGATCAACTCCCTTTTTCCCTAGCAGTATTCCTGCTATACTATCATCATATGTAAAAACTCAGTATGCTGCATTCACAATTCTACACACAATCTTTGCAAAAGATTGGTTTCTTTTGAAGAGCATGACTGCATCTTACTACGAATCACAGGTTAGTATAAATGGGCACCAGCTTAAATGTTCTGCCAAATGCCACTTGTTCCCGAATTAATTTTTATAAACACTTTAGAGTGGTAAATGTACACAGTCTAAAAACTGTTCATATTTTCCACATCTGACTAAAATTGTAGTTCAATCATGCACAGAGACATATAAGTTATTCCATAATTAGTTACAGTAGAAGCAGGAAGAAAAATCTGTTTAATTCTGAATAGGAAAATTCCTGACGATGTTCCTATATCAACAGTTTGGCTAATATTAATTCCCAAAGCAATGCATCTTTGAGCAAACATTCATTCTCAAATTCGTACAGTTTAAAATAAATTCTACATCACCAACATTACAACATCATGATTTGTTTTAAATGTGGAAATGATATCACCCAATATAAGTAACAGAGGAGATGGTTTTGATCAAGATTCCCCAAGGTGCTCAGTATCAACCCCCAAGGGTCAACGGGATTATCCAAGTGTGGTAAAATGGCTGGGGCTTAACAAGTTGTCAATAAATGATAGAAAGTCAATCTTTCCAGGCCTCCATTCCAGCTACACACCAGTCCCTAGTTCTGAAAATGACAAAGCTAGTGGCGAGACAATATTACCTCCGGGTTGAATGGTCAAGTTTCCAGCGAATGTAGCCTTTAGTTTTATTTACGTGATTTATATAGTCACCCATCTCACAAGCGACTATAGGCAGCATACAAGACTAAAACAATAAATATCTAAAATAATTACTGTTTAAAAAAGCTAAAACAAAATTAATGGGCTAAGGGATGTTAATAGTAATGCAGCCACTTCATCGGTTCACCTGACCCCAGAATTCTCCAGGCCTGCTGGCAAAACCAGGTCTTAAGGGACCTTTGGAAGCCTAGAAGTGATGATGCTATCTTCATTTTGGGGGAGAGAAACTTCCACAGCACAGGGGCCACAGCATAAAAGGCCTGCTACTTAGATCCTGCCAAATATAGCAGAATAATAACTCCTTAAACAGGACCCATAACGTACCCATATTGTTCAGTCTAGGTGAGACAGATGGATGAAATCAAGGAAAGGTGGACCCTCAAGCAACGCAATCTCATGCCATGTTATTTTATTCCTAATACTATTAAATATTTATTAAATTATTTTCATATAACCAATATTTGGAGGTTGATAATGGTGAACAATCTGAAACTTCATGAAGGGATCGATCACTCCTGGTTTTGACAATGGGCCTTCAAGCCAGTATAAATTCATAGCATATTTTTTCCCACAGCAGGGATAGCATCTAACACAGGAGTGAAAGGGGAATACAGGTAGTCCTAAACTTACAAGTTTGTTTAGTGACTGTTTGAAGTTTCAACAGCACTGAAAAAAAGTGACGTATGACCATTTTTCACTCTTACAATTGTTGCAGCATCTCCATGGTCACATGATCAAAATCCAGGTGCTTGGTAACTGGTTCATATTTATGACTGTTACAGTGTTCCGGGGTCACATGATCACCTTTGGCAACCTTCTGACAAGCTAAGTCAATGGGGAAGCCAGATTCACTTAACCATGTTACTAGCTTAACAAGTGCAGTGATTCGCTTAACTGTGGCAAGAAAGGTTGTAAAATGGGACAAAACTCATTTAACAACTGTCTCACTTACCAACAGAAATTTTGAGCTCAATAGCGGTCATAGGTCCAGGACTACCTGTAATATATTAATGGAGCAGCTTCCCACAACTTGTCCAATCTAAGTTGCTAACACAAAACTTGCCAGCATCATAGGAACTAATAGCAAAACTTTTTAATAGTGAAATATGAGGTAGTAATATTACTATATATTAATATAATAGCAAAATTTTGGGGTTTTTGTTGTAGATTTTTAATGCTGTAAGCCACCCAGTCAGCTGTGAGTTAGGCGGCTATGTGAATTTATATGTATATCTATGCATTATATTATAGTACATATAAAGTAATACATATTATAACTAATATATATATTAGTTATAACTAATAAATAGAATAACCGAAGGGTACAGGCTGCAGTATTTACCAGTTCCTGGGCAAAGTCTTCCCGCTTCTCTGGGAGATAAACTGGCGGGAGATATAAATAATGAGACAATATAGATGCTAGAAAGGAAATAAAAAAAACCGCCGTGTCCCGTCGCCTCTTCCACTTACACGCCCAGCCGGAGGTGAGTCGAAAGTTTTCCGGCAGCGGCGTTTACCGCGGGATCGAAACCCAGAGCCAAGAGGTAGAGCCAGAAGTGTTCCTTCTCCCAGGCCGGAGGCGAGAAAGGGCTGCTCATCTCTCCGGCGCCCCGCCGGACCTCCCAACTCCCACGGCGGGAAGACTCCGCGAGCAACGGAAGGAGCTCCACGCGCTCTTCTCACGGTCACAGACAGGCAAATAAAACGCCTCCCCTAGTTTCTTTCTAGGTAGCGGCCGCCTTCACATTAGCCCCGGAGTAAGTTCCGTTAACTCCGCACCCCCAAAGCCGCCATTTTGCTTAACCCGCCAAAGTGTAAATCGAAAGGGGCGGGTTTTTATGAATGAGGGGGAAACATTACCGAATCAAAGACCTCGGGAACCACGGGTCCTTCACGTGATTGGCAACTTCTCAGCCAATTGGAAAAAAAGAAAAGATTTCCCAGAATGCACCGTGGCGGAGCTATAACGCTATATAAAAAAGGATGGACTCGAATTAGCTTCAGCTGCGATCGTAATAGGTTATTAATGCTTTTTGTAAAAAAAAAAAAAAACTTTCTCTTGGAGACTTGCTCTCCCAAGCCATAGCTCGAGTGATAGTTTTTCCATTATTATAGCGAAAAATATAGAAGTCTGGCAGCATCTTTTCTTGCCAACAAATGGTATTAAAAAATCTGGGCTTTTTAATAAAATGTACAGTTACGAGACTATTTTTTTTTTCTTTTGCTAGTACCAGGGGTATCAAACTGCCAGCCCGCGGGCCGGTTTCATCATACCGAAGCTTCGCTCACCCCATTGCCGGCAATGCAAAAAGAGTCGCGATATGTTGTGACACGTCATGTCATGTGGCGAGTTTGACATCTGTGCTATATAGACTAACGGCTCTCTTCTTATAGTTTCCTTGTACGGAGTTTCTCTATTGTTGGCCCGTTGCACCTCATCAAATTATTAGTCGCTAAGGGCAATACATATAGTGGAAGTAGCGTAGTGAGTACTTACTTGAAATTAGCTAATATGCCTGTAGTTGGTTACACAAGGGATTCCCAAATTGTGGGGTGCGATAACTAACCTTGGGAGGATGTTACAGCGTCTCAACAAACTGAGATGATCTCAAAATGATATTACAGGTGCAATGACGTGAAGGAAATCCTGCCTTTTGTGTACTGCGGTCACTGTATGTGACAAAAGTAGGTAAATCATAGTATTTATTCAGTGCATAAAAGTGGCATCTTTTTTTCAGCTCTGCCTCCATCCGAAATCCACAAATGCCTATGAATCACAAAACCCATCTTATAATGGGATTCAGCCCAGAAAATGGTGTTCTGAACAGCAGTGCATTTTTTGTTGTTGTTGCTCTGCTAGACAAAAGGCTGGTTGGTTGTGAGGAACCAAACTTTTCATTAGATTTTTCATTCATTCTTGAAGCATGTCATGTAACAAGAGCAGAGGTCCCCAACCTTTTGGGCACAAGGGACCAGTTCCATGGAGAGAGGTTTTTCCAGGGACCGGAGAGCGTGTAGTTTTGTGTGCTGCTTGCATCTCACGGATAGGGCTTGTTTGCGTGGAGCGATTGCTGGCATGCCACAGCCTGGTACCGGTCCACAGACCAGGGGTTGGGGACCCCTGACATAGAGAACTTTTCCTCAAATACTTCCATAAGAGGTTTGGCACTTGGTTTCCCTGACTGACGGCTAGGCAGCTTTACTTCTCTCTTAGGAGACATTTTACATATGTATACAAGTCCTCTCTTACAACTAGTTGCTGCCAGCAGAGAAGCAAACAAGAGTACCCATTTCTTTTTTCAAGGTCAGAGGGAAAATTCCAAGAGCAAAGCGGTTGGCAAGGAGAATAACTTTGATATGCAAACTCCTGAAGTGCAGAAAGAAAAAGAAAAAAAGGAGACTTGCATACAGAATGCAATAAAAATACAATGAAGATATAAAATCTTTTCAAGTTGATAATGGTAAAAGTTCAATATGATTAGGTTATTAAATCATTTTCTCAGTAATCTAAGACTTGTTGCCATTTGTCTCTTCCATACGGGAAGGAGACAAACTAGTTTAACTCACGCCTCGGGTACTATTAAATCAATTAGAGTCCATGAGGGGGGAAAGTATCAAAATTCGAGCACACAGCCAGCAATTAACATCCAGAAAGAGAAGAAAAAGAAAAAAAAGATTTGGAAAAAAAAGTGGGGTTAAAGGTAGAGGCGTTTTTCAAAAACAAAGACTGGGCAGATAAGATATGAGCTCTTCCTTTGGTTGAGCTTACCAAGGAGATGAAACCCCCCAAATTTCACCTACCCCAGCCAGGCACGACAGTCCAAGGCAGGGGTCTTAAAACTTGGCCCTTTTATGACTTGTGGGCTTCAGCTCCCAGAATTCTTCAGCCAGCGTGCCTGGCTGAGGAATTAATAATAATAATAATAGTAAAGTTGGAAGGGACCTTGGAGGTCATCTAGTCCAACCCCCTGCTCAGGCAAGAAACCCTACACCATTTCGGACAAATGGCTGTCCAGTCTCTTCTTAAAAACTTCCAGTGTTGGAGCATTTACTGCTTCTGGAGGCAGGCTGTTCCACTGATTAATTGTTCTCACTGTCAGGAATTTTCTCCTTAGTTCTAGGTTGCTTCTCTCCTTGATTAGTTTCCACCCGTTGCTTCTTGTCCTGCCTTCAGGTGCTTTGGAAAATAGCTTGATTCCCTCTTCTTTATGGCAGCCCCTGAGATATTGAAATACTGCTATCATGTCCCCCCTTGTCCTTCTCTTCGTTAAATTCTGGAAGTTGAAGTCCACAGGTCATAAAAAAGCCAAGTCTGAAGACCTCTGGTCCAAGGATTTTCAGGTTGATTCCCCATCACTCCTTTTCTAATCCAGGAGTGAATTAGTTCTCTCCATGGAACTGGTCCCTGGTGCCCAAAAGGTTGGGGACCTGTGCTCTATGTTACATGACATGTTTCAAGAGTGAATGAAAAATCTGATAAAAAGTTTGAATTATTAATAATAAGAGTTAAAACTAGCCAAAGAAGACAGCATTATGGACAATTAGTGAAGTTTTGTTTGTGACTGGTTTAATTATAGAATTTTTGAAAGATTTAAACTTGATAAAAAATGTTTTGTTTTCACAGGAGTTAAAACTGAATTGCATATCAATTTATGTTCTGGAGATGACCACTTGACTGCTATAGTATATGAAATCTTAAGATGAACCTGGAAGAAGAATATGTAAAAGACTTCATGGTAAAATGGGCAAAAAAAAATTGGGTATAATATAACACTAGATAAATGGGAGAATGTATGGATTAATGGATTCAAATTTATTTTGAACTAGCTGTTCCCGGCCACACGTTGCTGTGGCTCAGTCTGGTTAAATAGAAAAGAAAGAAAAGAGAAAGCGGATGTTTGTAATATGTTTAATTTCACAATGCTTGTGGGTATACAATATTTTTTGTTGTTCCATTTTCTGTGCAGATATAGAGATTGTCTGAAATCGTAGCGTGTTTGCTTTTATGTCCAACAGATGGCGGTTTTTCACAAAAAGCATGTTTTTACCTGTCACAGGTGTGACATCTATATAATATAGGTATATAAAAACACGTGCGTATTTGAATGCAACGTTGTTTCAAAATTTCAAAGCAATCAGTGAAGAACTTTCGGAGATTTAAGATTTTGAACAAACGAACATTTACATTTTTATTTATATAGAAGATTAGATGGTAGTTTGAAAGAATTTTTTTATAAAATGATGTATTGTTGTATTTGACTCCAGATAGATTAGCTAAAACGTACAGAGGGCCTTTCTAATAAGTGCTGGAAATGTAATCAAAATCCAGGTATCAAATGTAGTGCTCTTGTAAGTATATGAAAATCTTCTGGATAAACATGATAATGCAGAAAATATTTGATACATATATTAATAAAACCCGAAGCTTTTTTTAGATATTATGGATAAATCAAATGAAAAACCATTTGGGTCTCTATTTCTTTACATGGTGACTGCTGCGAGGATTGTACTCGCTAAGCACTAGGAAGGAAAGGCGATACCGACAGTTGAAGAATGGATTTTAAAATTCATTGAATTAGCAGAGATGGTAAAATTAATTGCTTTGATTAGAGATAATGGACTAGACAGTTTTATAAGAGACTGGAAGCTGTTTGTGAAGTTTCTGTGTGTTACGTACAATAACAGATGGTTAACAGGGATTTGAAGACTATTGTAATATTTGGGCTAACTTGTTGATATTTCTTATTTTTTTTCTTTCATATATATATATCATATATATATGATATTGAGTCATTTAATTATTAGAGACCTCCTCATCTGAAGTATTTGTCTATATGATATATTTTTCTTGTTAAACAAGGATGAGAAAGTTTGTAACTATTTGCAGATCCATTATGTAAGCGGAGGAAAAATTACCAGGTTTTTTTATATATTTTTTTCAGCATCCAGCCAGAATGGATTTTTTTAGATGTTTAATGTTGGATGTTTGGATCATTTTTTTTCCTTTTTTTCATTTTTGTACACAATTTTTGTTGTTGTTACTACTGGATGTATGTTTTTTCTGTTTTGTATTTTATTCCCATTGATGAAACATAATATATGTTTAAAAAAACAAATCATCTTATAATATACAGTAATTACATTATTAAAAGTGTGCAGTTTTGAAATCAATTAAATCATTACTTTAGGTAGGGATACTCATTTATCATTGAGAGCATTGTTTTTCAAACTTTTAAGATGTTTAGACTTCAACTTTCAGAATTCCCCAGCCAGGAATTCTAGAAGTTGAAGTCCACACATCTTAAAAGTTGCCAGGTTTTAAAAAATACTTATTTAGACATTCAGTTTAGAGAATATTACAAAGTCTGAGTAGTTGTAGTACTCTTTCAGCTGAACCTCTAAATAAGTGGTTTTAAAACTTGGCAACTTTAAGATAGGTAGACTTCAACTCCCAAAATTCCTGGCTGGGGAATTCTGAAAGTTGAAGTCCACCCATCTTAAAGTTGTAAGTTTAAAAAACATTAAACTCATATTCCCAGTAGTATTCTTCTTTCTTGCTCCAATTTCACTCTCCCTGAACTGGGAATTATTTTTCATAATATAGCTAGATCAAGCATTCAGGTTGTCTAATTAAAAAAAAATATTTTATTTTTCATCAAGTTATGTAGAATGTACTAGGTCAGACTCCATTTGATCCAAGAGTTTGCATGACCTTTCATTCCCTTAATTAGAATACATCTAGATGAATTATTCAGGCTTTCTATCTGATTGTAATTCCTAATTCCTGATTGTAATTGTAAATCCTAATACAGATTTCCCCTTTATGGATTACTGCCTTGTCGTGGCGAAGGGGCTTGCGTAACTCAATGAAGCTATAAGCTATGCCGTGCAGGGCCACCCAAGACGGACAGGTTATAGCAGAGAGTTCTGACAAAATGTGATCCACTGGAGAAGGAAATGGCAAACCACTCCAGTATCTTTGCCATGAAAACCCCATGGACAGTACTAAAAGGAAAAAAGATATGACGCTGGAAGATGAGCCCCTCAGGTCGGAAGGTGTCCAATATGCTACTGGGGAAGAGCAGAGGGCTAGTACTAGTAGCGCCAGAAAGAATGAAGCGACTGGGCCAAAGCCGAAAGGACGCTCAGCTGTGGATATATCTGGTGGTGAAAGGAAAGTCCGATGCTGTAAAGATTTTTTCTCCATAGGAACCTGGAATGTAAGATCCATGAATCAAGGCAAGCTAGACGTAGTCAAAAAAGAGATGACAAGACTGAACATCGACATCTTAGGAATCAGCGAACTAAAATGGACAGGAATGGGTGAATTTAACTCAGATGACCATCAGGTATACTACTGTGGGCAAGAATCCCTCAGAAGAAATGGAGTAGCCTTCATAGTCAATAAAAGAATAGGAAAAGCAATACTGGGATACAATCCCCAAAATGACAGAATGATCTCAATTCGAATCCAAGGCAAACCATTCAATATCACAGTAGTCCAAATCTATGCCCCAACCACTGGTGCTGAAGAGGATGAAATTGACCAGTTCTATGAAGCCCTACAGGACCTTATAGAATTAACACCAAAAAATGATGTCCTTATCATCATGGGGGATTGGAATGCTAAGGTAGGAAGCCAAAAGATAACCGGAATAACAGGCAAGTTTGGCCTTGGAGTACAAAATGAAGCAGGGCACAGGCTAATAGAATTTTGTCAAGAGAATACGATGGTCATAACAAACACTCTTTTCCAACAACCCAAGAGACGGCTCTACACATGGACATCACCAGACGGTCAACATAGAAATCAGATTGACTATGTGCTCTGCAGCCAAAGATGGAGAAGCTCTATACAGTCAGTAAAAACAAGACCAGGAGCTGACTGTGGCTCAGATCATGAGCTTCTCGTTGCAAAATTTAGGCTTAAATTGAAAAAAGTAGGGAAAAGCACTAGGCCACTCAGGTATGAACTAAATCATATTCCTGATGAATATACAGTAGAGGTGACAAATAGATTTAAGGAATTAGATCTGATAGACAGAGTGCCTGAAGAACTATGGATGGAAGTTCGCAACATTGTACAAGAGGTAGCAACTAAAACCATCCCAAAGAAAAAGAAATGCAAGAAAGCAAAATGGCTGTCTGAGGAAGCTTTGCAAATAGCTGAGGAAAGAAGGGAAGCGAAAGGCAAAGGAGAAAGAGAAAGATACACCCAATTGAATGCAGAATTCCAGAGAATAGCTAGAAGAGATAAGAATGCCTTCTTAAATGAACAGTGCAAAGAAATAGAAGAAAACAACAGAATAGGGAGGACCAGAGATCTCTTCAAGAAAATTGGAGATATGAAGGGAACGTTTCATGCAAAGATGGGCATGATAAAGGACCAAAATGGCAGAGACCTAACAGAGGCAGAAGAGATTAAGAAGAGATGGCAAAACTACACAGAAGAACTATACAAGAATGAGCTTAACATCCCAGATAACCACAATGAGATGGTCACTGACCTCGAACCAGACATCCTAGAATGTGAAGTGAAATGGGCCTTAGAAAATCTGAGCAACAACAAAGCTAGTGGAGGTGACAGTATTCCAGCTGAGCTATTCAAAATCTTAAAAGACGATGCAGTAAAAGTGCTACACTCAATTTGCCAGCAAATTTGGAAAACTCAACAGTGGCCACAGGATTGGAAAAGGTCAGTTTACATTCCAATTCCAAAGAAAGGCAATGCCAAAGAATGTTCAAACTATCGCACCATTGCACTCATTTCACATGCTAGTAAAGTTATGCTTAAAATCCTACAAGCTAGACTCCAGCAGTATGTGGATCGAGAACTACCAGAAGTACAGGCAGGATTTCGAAGAGGCAGAGGAACTAGAGATCAAATTGCCAACATACGCTGGATCATGGAGAAAGCTAGGGAGTTCCAGAAAAACATCTACTTCTGCTTCATTGACTATGCAAAAGCCTTTGATTGTGTGGATCACAACAAATTGTGGCAAGTTCTTAAAGAGATGGGAGTACCAGACCATCTCATTTGTCTCTTGAGAAACCTATATGCGGGTCAAGAAGCAACAGTGAGAACGAACACGGAACCACTGATTGGTTCAAAATTGGAAAAGGAGTCCGGCAAGGCTGTATACTGTCACCCTGCCTATTTAACTTATATGCAGAGCACATCATGAGAAAGGCAGGGCTAGATGAATCAAAAGTTGGAATTAAGATTGCCGGGAGAAATATCAACAACCTAAGATATGCAGATGATACCACTCTAATGGCAGAAAGTGAAGAGGAACTAAAGAGCCTCTTGATGCGGGTGAAGAAGGAGAGTGCAAAAGTTGGCTTGAAACTCAACATTAAGAAAACCAAAATCATGGCATCCGGCCCTCTCAATTCCTGGCAAATAGATGGGGAAGAAATGGAGGTAGTGACAGATTTTATTTTTCTGGGCTCCAAGATCACCTCAGATGGGGACTGCAGCCAAGAAATTAAAAGACGCTTGCTCCTGGGGAGGAAAGCTATGGCAAATCTAGACAGCATACTAAAAAGCAGAGACATCACCCTGCCAACAAAAGTGCGTATAGTCCAGGCCATGGTTTTCCCAGTTGCAATGTATGGCTGTGAAAGTTGGACCATAAGAAAGGCTGAGCGCCAAAGAATTGAGGCCTTTGAACTATGGTGCTGGAGAAGACTCCTGCGAGTCCCTTGGACTGCAAGGCGTTCAAACCGGTCAGTCCTAGAAGAGATCAACCCCGACTGCTCTTTAGAAGGCCAGATCCTGAAGTTGAAACTCAAGTACTTTGGCCACCTAATGAGAAGGAAGGATTCACTGGAGAAGAGCCTAATGCTGGGAAAGATTGAGGGCAATAGAAGAAGGGGACGACAGAGAATGAGATGGCTGGATGGAGTCACTGAAGCAGTAGGTGTGAATTTAAATGGACTCCAGGAGATGGTAGAGGACAGGAAGACCTGGAGGAACATTGTCCATGGGGTCGCGACGGGTCGGACACGACTTCGCAATTAACAACAACAACAACAACAATACAGATTTAGAACATGAGTCTCCAGAATTTTTTTTGTGATTTTTCTGTTATTTCTATTTCTGCATAGTCTGCAGAAATAAAACTATTTCTACAATTCTCCCTCTTCAGCAATATCAAGCAAATAAATCTCAGAGTTGAAAATTTATAGATATGTTATTCAAGGGAATACTGCTAGATTTAGTCTCTCAAATGGAAATAATTGGCTATTTATTTGTGGTTCAGGTAATTTGTAATTCAGAATATTTTGACCAACCTTTTTACTGTTATTCTGGCTTCAAAAAGAATGTGGTTCATTATAATGAATTCAGTTACAGTGGTACTTGATACTCAACTGCTTTGAAACTCACTGAATTTGGTACTCAATGCATTTTGACATGAAAATTTTGTCCTGGTACTCATCATTTGTTTGGTACTCAACACACAAGCTAAAACTTGTTCATGTCGGCTGCCTTGTGACTCACTGCAGTATTCATCATGGGAAAAATTCGTTTGGTACTCATCCTTTTTGGTACTCATCACACCTCCTGGAACCAATTAACGATGAATACCAAGATACTACTGTGTTATATTATATAGGATATCATCTGTCTGATGAGTTGATGCATAATGCCAACTCTTGTGATCTTATATCAAACAGATCATCCAAAGGCTACATAGGATTTTGTAAGTGTCTTAAATGTAGCATTGCTCAAATTATCATTTACTATATTTTTTAAAACAATGGGAGGTAAATCTAAGGGTTCATTAAACTGTGTGTAACAGTTTACATAAGCAACAACTACGGTATTTCTTCATCAAGTATTTTCCCTGGAATCAAAGACAGAGGAGAAGTATATTGTGTTGTTCATGGAAATCAACTGTTTTTTAAATCAATGTAAAGAGTAACCATTTTCCCAGATCCAGCATTATCTGTCATATTATCAAAGATACTGGAACCTTGTATGATTATATATTTAATTAAAAATACATAGGGAAAAGGGTGAAAAAAGGCAAAACATTAATGCAGTAATCAAATATCAGTACAAACTTTATTTCCCAGGCATTTCAGTAAATACTTCTTCCAACTTACATACTGCATCTGATATTAGAGACACTCACATTACAAAGGAAGTCAATTATTTCTTGCTAGCTTTATGAAATCTACTAAATTAGCACCAAGAAATGCCCTCATATTCTCACAACAAACAGAAACAAAGTTCCAGTGGCTTAGGAAGAGAAATGGCGATGACAACAAATGATAACAATCACATTTCTATCAGTTCAGAAAGCATGAAACTCCCCAAAAATCCATCGTGAAATATAGGTCCAAGTGCTTCTAACAACGGCTGTTGTTGAAATTGTATATTTAGTAGGAATGTACAATGAGCAGAATCTGCAGGAGAAATTTCATTTTCTATAATTTTTGCTATCATTTATAATCATTGCACCTTTACTGTTTCTTTTATCCAAACTCATCCTCTTTTTAGAAGTTTTCTTATATCCTTTTTGAATGTGTATATTACTTCTCTTCAGATGCATTTAAATCTTAAACTTCTTATATAAATGTAAAATCTAATGGGGAATTGTGTGCTTTAACCCAATTATTTAAAATAAAAATAATGTAGTCCTTCCTCTGAGATATATAGCTGCCAGTTTTCTATCTGTAGTGGATTTTAGGGAGCCATATCAAGTTATGTAAATTCACAGCCAGAATATATGTTTATTACTTTAATAGTATCTTGGCTGATATATTATTGGAGCACTAAGACATTGGACAAGAATATTATACTTTAAAGAGACACCAAATACTTTCATTGCATTAAAGCAGCCTTCCTCAACTATGGATCCCAAATGTGTTGGGATTGTGCCTTGTTATCTGGGAGTTCTCAGAATTTCACTCCCAATGTATTTGGGTAGGGCAAAGAGTATAAGAAAATTGTTTCAAAAGCTTAATACACCTATTTCCACAATTAGAGAATTGAGCAATATATTTCAGCTTGAAGTTTTTGCAACAGATTAAAATATACAGACATGTTGCTAAATGTAAGTACTGTATTTTGCTAAGAAAGGAATAAAGTTTAAGACAGCAAATCATCTGATAGTCCACATTTCAGGTGAATTGTTAAGGCTGTTACTTCAAAAGTTTTTATTGGCCCAATTGTGATCTAAGCTTCAAAGGATATTTAAGACCATTTCAATACATTTATCTATCATCTAAAGCACGGGTCCTCAAACTTGGCCCTTTTATGACTTGTGGACTTCCACTCCCAGAATTCCTCAGCCAGCATGCCTGGCTGAGGAATTCTGGGAGTTGAAGTCCACAAGTCATAAAAGGGCCATGTTTGAAGACCGCTGACCTAAAGCATCTATGGCTTATCCTAAAATACTTGTCTATGTTCCATAATAACAATGAATCAAGAAGCTGCATGTTGGGCTGATCTAAATTAAACAAAAATGCACTCTCCAATAGCTATCGTCCCATAAAGCAGAATTGTAATTAAGTGTGCATATACACTGTATGTGTGTCTATGTGGATGTAGATCACACACATACACACAGCACACACATACATTGCATTGAAGGAACAGCTTTTCTTATGCTTCCACTATTTGTTCCGTGGTAATTGGGCCATTTGCATGGGAATAGTCAGGCAATCCTTCTTCATCCAAATCTGAGATGTCCGGTATCTCATCAGATTCTGAAGACAATTCTGTGATAGTGAAATCTGGAACCTACAGAAAAATAAGCTCAAATAAATTTGAAGGCAACATTTGAATTCTACACACCCTCCTTCCCCACTTTACCCCAGCATTAAGCATGTAAACCCAAAGAATTGGCTAGCAAAATCTCTACAACTTTGTTTTAAATAGAAATAATTAAAAAGGAACGAAAATGGGGCAGGGAGATAAAAGCAATCAAAATGGATACCGGCATATTCATACGCTTTCCCTATAAAAAAAGAGCCAGAACATTTGAGACACCACTTGGGAAGAAAGCGATTGAGGTGGTCATAAAGGTGTATAAAACAATAAGTGAATGGGGAGAAGATTTTCTCCCTTTAAAATCAGGACAGGATCATCCAAAGATTCAAGATTTAGAATAGGTAGAAGGCTATACAGGTAGTCCTTCACTTAAGAACAGTTCATTTAGTGACCGTTCAAAGTTACAGTGGCAGTGAAAAAAGTGACTTTTTCACAGTTACAATCTTTGCAGCATTCCCATGATCATGTGATCAAAATTCAGATGCTTGGCAACTGGTTCATATTTACGATGGTTGTACTGCCCCATGGTAGGGTCACCTTTTGTGACCTACTGAGAAGCAAAGTTAATGGGGAAGCCAGATTCACTTAACCATGTTACTAACCAACTGCAGTGATTCACTTAACAACTGTGGCAAGAAAGATCGTGAAATGGGGCAAAATTCACTTAACAAATGTTTCACTTAGCAACAGAAATTTTGGGCTCAGTTGTGGGCATAAGTTGAGGGCTACCTGTACTTTTTCACCTAGTACCTAATTAATTTGTGGAATTCATTATTACAAGACATGGTGATGCCACTAACCTGGGTAGTTCTAAATGGGGATTAGATAAATTAATAGGGGACTGTTTTTTCAACAGCATGTCTCCTAACACTAGTTGTAAGGAAACAATGATAGGATATGTTTTCGTCTCCTGTCTGAGAGCATCCCATTGTATAAAAAAGAGATAGAGTTGAGAGATGCCTCGTTGGCTCAATCCAATTTGGTGGTTTTATCATAGAGTTGTGATCTCTTAAACACATAAGGTACAGACAACTAGAAAAAAACTCTTATCATTAAAAAAAACTGAGAACATTAATGATGTTCATAAAGAGTCTAATCGAATGTTACTAGAAAGAACTTTTCATTATAATTTAAAGATAATGTGCACTCCTGGAGACAGACTGCTAGTCCAGGTTTATTTCATATTGGTTCTGGTAATGAAATATGATACTCCAAAATACGACACTCCAGTATTTTGACTAAAAAGTTAGTCAACAGACTGAACATAACTTTGCACTGTATCTCCTTCATCTTTGCTGCAGCATATCCTGATACAACTAGGAAAAATCCCATTTCTTCATTTGTGTATTAAAACTAAATTCTTTTATTGTTAATATAGCCTTCAAATTCCTGTTATCTCACTAATTATGCATGTGACATAAATGCATACATCATTCTTTTAATGTATCTAAGATGATCTGAGTTGACCTAGACTCACATGTAAAGTTCTCAAGGTTGAGAAACACTGACCTAGAGAGTTTCCTCTCCTGTGAGATGTTTTGGGGTGGGGATTGTTATATTTTGTGTATGTGTGTGTATTCTATTTCTCTGGATTTTTGTGTGCTGGTGAGGGACTGAAAACAAATGATTTAAAAAACCTTGAGAGAAATATTTTGACTACATAGAGGTATAGTACTTAAAACAATGAGCTGGGATGTAGACAGACTAAATTTAAGTTTGCAATCATCTGGAAAATTTATAACTATATATTATTATGATGGATCATATATTCTATATTTTTTGAGGCCTAGGATCTACATTTGATGAAACTGTATTAGTGGATGCTGAAATAAAGCATATAAAGGTAGTTTAGTATTGTATATTTAATAGCTATTTTAAAAGTAATGTAGAACATGAGCCTTGTGGCAGTGAAGGGTACTTTATTTTTTGATAATAAATACAGCTAATGTCATTTTTGCTCTAATATACTTCAGAATAAAAACCTCACAGAAATTTCTCTAAACCATATTCTGCAAAACCTCAATATAACAAGTTGTGTTGGCGATTTTAATGTAGCTTAAAAACTCAGCTGGACTGAAGCACTTCAAAAGACCTACTTTATTCTGAAAATTCAAAATCACTGCAAGCATTTACAGCAGAATTCAGTTAAGAGACTTTGGTGTTTTTAAAAATCTAAAATGTAGTGAATACTGCATTCTTTTTTCTCATGGATATCAAAAAATGGTTTTAGAATAGATTATTTATTTCTTCTATTCTGGTGAACCAAATTGTGGACTTCTCAATAGCTCCACTGCAATCTCAGACTGTTCTCCAATGACTCTCACTCTGAAATTTCAAAATTATAACTTAATTCTACATGGTATTTTAATATTTCTGTTTGTAGTAATTGTTTATGAAATAGATCAAACAAGGACATATGCTCATTTTTGAAATAAATCACGGCTGTATTAATATGCTAATCCCCTAGGATGCATTTAAAATATCTGTTTGTGGAATCATTATTGCTGCTGAATCAGTAGCAATAAAATACTAATTTTATAGAGCTGGACAAATGGTTAAAGATTTTTTTTTGTCACATGCCAGATGAATGTCATATACCAGATGAAATCCCACAGATGAATTAAGTATTTATAGCCCCCAAGATTTAAAGTAAGGCAACTATTTTCAGAATACTTTATTCCTTGAAATGTCTATCAGAACTATTGGGAATGAGAAAATTATTGGCTTATCATTTGAAATAACAAAAACGTTTCTATCTGAAATTCAGGCCAACAATGAACAGTTATCCACTGAGACAAAAACTATTCACTGGTTTTATGTTTTTTTACATTCACTTATATAAATTGGGGAAGTTACTAACTGAATAGCAAATTACAGGTAGTTCTCAATTTATGACCGCAATTGGGATTGGAATTTCAGTTGTAAGTCATGAAGGAGGTAAGTTAAAGCACCCGCATGATTGCACCTGATTTCATGACCGTTTTTCTGCTGGTCATTCAGTGAAATCACATGGTTATAAATTTGAATCCATTTTCCCAAATGGGCTTTCTTGCCAGAAACCGGCAAAAAACAACGGAAATCGGGAAAAATAATTGCAATTTGTGGTCATACTACCGTGGGATGCTACAATCAGAACAGAAAAGTGAGCCAGTTGCCGAGCACCCAAAATGTAATCATGTGACTGCAGGAGTGTATATGCAACATTTCATGGTGGTTGGAAGTCTTAGGACCTTTGAGAGATGCAGTGCTTAAACTGAAACCAACAAATTTGTTTTGCTGTTTTGTTTTGCTTATTAAGTTATTATTTTAACTTTTCCCTCCGTATAACTACTTTCTCTCCCGATTGGTATCGTAACTTTCTTTACAATATTTTATTATTAAAAGGGGTTGGTCCTATATGCCCCTATAATCCATAGAGACTTTGCATTAGTTTGCACTTCCTATCAAAATTTCCTTTTGTAAATCCCAATATCAGTGTTCTCGGGGGCAAGGAGAAGCTGACAAAAGCAATATTGAGGCCTTGTGCCAGAAGCCACATCATTTTTCTATATATCATGACACTGCATGTAGGTCCCTGGAAGTGTGGCACAGTGCCTAAAAACATGTTGCTTCAGCATTTAAGTTGAATTTGTTTTAAAACTTCCTGCTCAAAACATATATCCTATTGTATTTCTACCTTCCTTTAAAGAAGGAATAAGAATCGCTTTTGGGGTAGGGGGGAAATCTGTGGCTTTCCAGAAGACCTTGCTTTGCAGCTCCCATCAGTATCTGTTATATGATGAAGGATCAAGAAAGATAGATGTAGTTCACCAAACCAGAGGTCTAAGACAGGGGTCTTCAAACTTGGCCCCTTTATGACGTGGACTTCAACTCCCAGAATTCCTCAGCCAGCGTGCCTGGCTGAGGAATTCTGGGAGTTGAAGTCAACAAGTCATAAAAGGGCCAAGTTTGAAGACCCCTGGTCTAAGGCCTCTTCCTTATCAGGCACTAGGTAATAATTGACATATCCGGTACCAGTTGACACTTCTGACTACAAGATATAAGTTTATTTATGTTTTCTGAATTATTGCCAAAGCACTAGCTATAGGTATCGTATGTTTTAAGGAATTACTGTATTATCCAACTTTGTGCTAAAGCATCTCAGAATACTTTTGAAAACTGCCAGTCTTCCAGCCTCTAAATATTACTAGCATCACTACCTCACTATCAAGCAGCTGGTACCTTTACAAGTTTGAATTGGGTATCTATTATTTTATAGCCAAAACATTTTGGTCTATGAAGATATCTGCAGAGAAGAATCAAAGATAATCACGAAGTGTCAACATAAATTCAAGTCTCAGAACTGCAATGCAATTTGAGCATCAATAAATGTAATTCAGATTTTCTATACTCAAGTTGTTATCTATAAAATATATTTTATGAAGGAATGGCAACGGCTCAGCTGGTTGGCTTGGAGGTGGTTGATGGACTTAACAGAGAAGATGTGACCAATGTATCATTCTGGCTTGTTTTTTTTTATTTTGGACCTAATGTTAATTTTAAGTTACCCAGAGCAGAGTGAGACAAGCAGCTTGTAAATTTAATAAATCAATCTTAATATTATTTTGATCATTTGTAGTTTTGTTTAATCTGATAAATATTCTGAAACTTCCTTTGTAAAGTTTGTTGCATGTTTACAATAGCAAGGACAGATAGTGATCTTATAAATCAGGCATCAACTAGATCACGTCCTCTGCAGTGTAATATATTTAAACCACTGTCCTTGACTCATGAATGAGCCAATCTATTGTCAGCCCCCATCACCTTTTTTCCAGCCCTCTTATCTTATGGGGGGGGGAAGCACTGACAATGCAGAGCCCTTAATTTATTTTTATGAAACTTCCCAGGTAGGAAAATCTGGCCCCTAATCTTTGAGACAGCAGGTGATTATTTTATTTTCCAAAACCATATCGACCATTGCTTCTGTGAGTCTAGTAGCTGGAGGGCTCTGAACAATTATTACTGACATTTTATGAAATGATCTTCTGAGCTTAGAGAAACTATTAAATATTTTATGTACACGACAATGTAACCAGAGGAGCATGCATTACAGCAAGTAATAGCAATAGCAGTTAGACCAGGGGTAGTCAACCTTGGCTCTTTTATGACTCGTGGACTTCAATTCCCAGAATTCCTGAGCCAACTTAGCTGGCTCAGGAATTCTGGGAGTTGAAGTCCACGAGTCATAAAAGAGCCAAGGTTGACTACCCCTGAGTTAGACATATACTGCTTTATAGTGCTTTACAGCCCTCTCTAAAGCGGTTTAGAGTGAGCCTATTTTCCCCAACAATCTGGGTGCTCATTTTACCGACCTTGGAAGGCTGAGTCAACCTTGAGCCGGTTGCACAAAAATCTGTAATCCAAAACTCTAGCAGTCCACTTACAAAGACATAAGCCCTACCTCAATTTGCTCTTGAAAGGCAGCCATGTGCTATATTACCAACTATCATCTTTCTAAGGATTCTATTTTTTCATTCACCCTTCCTAATATGGGATTCTGTCTGAGAAAGACTGCCCATCACTGTTTCTCCAAGTCATGTTTGGGTCTCCTCCAGCACATTTTAATGTTTTTTAAACCAGCTCTTACTATTTTATCCAAGCCAATGACACTGACCAAGAAAATTAAGAGTATTTTTGTTCATACAACTGAACCAAGTTAAGAAACTTTGTGCTTTGCCCTATTTTCCTATAATGCCAAAATTGTGCACCAGATCAATTGCCCATACCCAAAGCAGGAATACTCCTAAATCTAGAATTAGCTTTTAGGTCCGATTATCAACATGATTTAGAATCTCATGCCATTTTATTTTACTGCAGGAAGTCAATGTTCATACAAATGATGGAATTGTGCAACCTAAGAAAATAGTTCTGGACATCTATCCAAACAAGTGATCTCAAATTTATGGGTTCAATTGCCTTTCTTTATCATTGAGATATCACCTTGCTTGCAACTTAAGAAGTATTATTTTCTTAGATTGCTGCTGAAATTAAGATTAAGATTAAGTAACTAGATCAGTGGTGGCGAACCTATGGCAGGCGTGCCATAGGTGGCACTTGGAGCCCTCTCTGTGGGCACACATGCCATTGCCCCAGCCCCACCTCTCCCCACAACCCCCTTACCAGCAGCCTGCCCGTAGAGGCTCCCCCAGGTGCGACCCAGGCGGAGCAGTGCAGCCAAGCACATGGCAGCTGGGCAGCAGGGGCAAGACTCCACCCTCGTGCCCCATGATGTGCAGATGATGCTGTGGGGTGCGGGTGGAGGACGTGGCCACCATGGCACTGCAAGGCTTCCTGGGCGATCTGTGGTGAGTGGCCCTGCAGGCGGGTGGAGCGGGGGACAGAGTGGGGGTGGGCCAGTTTTTGGGCACCCGGTCTCTAAAAGGTTCGCCATCACTGAACTAGATAATGCCCCAAAGGTGATATGCCAAAGTAAGTTAAGCAAAGTTAATTAGCGCTGTTTAGTAATTTCAGGAGTGCATTAAGGAATTTAGTAATAGACTAAATTTGATTTGTTGAAAAAAATCCAGTTTTATAAAAGTGTGGTCTAAAAACAGCTTCTTTGCTGTTTCATTCTATTTTATCAACTTAACAGAATCTTAGCCACTGAGAACATGTCACCTCACATTCTACAGCCTATTTCTTCTATATTTAGACAAAACTATTACTGGTATCGCACAGAGTTTTGGAAACTGCTAGTGCAATAGCCAAGCAATAAAACAAAAGACATACATTTCTGCTTGGCATAAACATTTTTTCTCATATCCATGAGTTCTCAATTATAAGAGTCAGGACTATTACAAAATCTGATGGATTGTCCAAGACCACAGGGTATCTGAACTGGACCCCAGTAGCTTTAAAAAAAATCACCACCAAGTCACAACGCTCCCTTTGAGAGCCGTGTCAAACAACAGAAATGGTAAAGCTTAAGCAACAGCAGATAGTTAGTAAAGCTGGATGGGGAGCCACAGAAGGAAACAAATGCGGCAGCAACATTGAGCCCATCTAATTTAGATGTAATGCGTGAAATGCCGATTAAGGGACCAGCAGTTTATATTCACCCAGTTTTAAAATACAACCCAGCTCAATAAGAATTTTGAGTCACAATATAGAATATTTGTAACCACACTTGCTTACACAATTCAAGAGACAGACTTTGGCTGCTGAAGCATTTATTACTTGAGAGAATACATGGAGAATTACAAGGCAAAGTGCTACTGAAGACAAGCTACATATCCACGTACACACAGCGTGAATCTTGAACTGAGTGCATAATACTTGAGGGTACTTCAAGTGGAGTGATTAAGTAGTACAAAGTCTTAGGATTTTAAATACTATAAATGTTCACCTGAAAATATTAGTCATAAACTTCATTCAAACAGAGCAATGAAGTTGATCAGAGTGCTCTTCTAGTGTTAAAATAATGTGGCTTAATGCTTTTAAGAAATAGCATGAATGCAAGGGCATCAATATTCTGATTATCTTACTGTATTCTTTTCCAAAGTTCTTTTCTAACTAAGTGGTTTGCTTTGTTTTCTAATATACATTGGAAGGCTTTGTTTTAAAGATCAATTCCTAAGGCAAGGTGGGGCTTCATAACTAAATAGCTGAACAAGCTGTAGTCTCCAATGTAATCAGCTGAGGTTTAGAAGTCATAAGCACCCACATTTTTCAGCCCATTTAAGCAAAGGACATACAACTTAAACTGTTTCATTATGACAGTTCCCTTTGACAGAGAAAACTTTAATGGAAATAAAACAAAATTCTGCTACTGGCTAAGCCATCTTGTTAGTTAGGGCACTAAATGTACATTTGCCTGCTGCAATTTATTCTTCCTTTTGTTCAGGCCGTTTGTTCTCCTGGTTGGTTTTTTTAGCCCCTTCACCTTTGTGCTTAGCATTGTGAGGGCCAGCCAATTGTGGGTAAAAGGGACCTACCAGCCAGTTGAGGGGTGTGTTGTTAACAAGATAATCCATCACATCATCCAGCGATTCTTTCATTTTCTTCAACTGGCCTTTACTAGAGGTAAGAAGGTTGTCAGACACTTCTCTGAAAGAAGAGGCTGACCGGAAGCTTTTGTACACGTCTCCTGCAATTTCCCCAACGTGGTGAACCTGATCCTGAACATTCTGTGGCAAACCCTGTATGCTGGACATCAGCGTGAGGCAGGTAGTCTGAAGCTGCTGACTCAAGTTCTGTGCAATTGCTAGAGTGCGTGATTCAATGTGCTGAAAAAGAGAACAGCTCTTAGTACAAAGAGTTCTTTGCAAACAGTTTTTAAATTTCACAACTTAAAACAGAATCTTTGTAATGCTTCATTAGCGAAGGACGTGGGAAAACCTGTAAGTAGGACATCATCACCTAATGATGTGAGCAAGGGCTTCCAGCATAGACATACCCAACTTTGGAAGCAAAATTGGATTTAGCTGGGGCATTGTAATATGATTTGATCAAATCCCACCTTTATTTATGAGCCCTGGTGGCACAGTGGTTAAAGTGCACTACTGCAGGCAAACTGCCTGCAGCCTGGAGTTCAATCCTGACAGAGCTCAAAATTAACTCAGCCTTCCATCCTTTCGAGGTCAGTAAGATTGTTTGGGGGCAATTTGCGAATAATGTTTCTACATTGTATACTGCCTAGAGCAGTGATGGCGAACCTTTTAGAGACCGAGTGCCCAAACTGCAACCCAAAACCCACTTATGCATCGTCAGGTGCCAGGAGAGTGTGGCCCATTGGGTGAGTGTAGCCCATTGGGTGGGCGTGGCTGCGGTAACAGCAGACTGGGTGGGACTAAAAAGTTCAATCAATCAATTCCAACTTTGCAAGATCTTTTTTTCCGAGAGAAGTTGAAATTGACTGATTGACTGAACTTTTTTTTTTTTTTTTTTGTACACAGCGGCAGAGGCCTAAAGTGAAAAGGTTTTATAAAACCCAGCTGAAGGCCTAGGACTGGGGCGACAACACACGTGCCCACAGAGAGGGCTCTGAGTGCCGCCTCTGGCACCCGTGCCATAGATTCGACAACACTGGCCTAGAGAGTGCTGTAAAGCATTATGGGGTGGTATATAAGCCTAAATGCTATGGCTATTTCAATCCACACAATGTGGAATGGATCCATCTGCCCTAAAGTAGGATCCAGCAGAGAACAAAATAGTTTGCCAATTCTTCTTTCCACCTGCAACGTAATAAAATGTTCATGCTGTATAAGAAACTCTTCAATCCTCTAGAATAGGAGGGGAATTTATAATGATGGAAGAATTGATTTTTTAAAAGTCTGCCTTGCCTCTTAGTTCATATTCCTTTAATATCTAGCGTTTTGAATTCTTGAACTCTTATATTCCACTGACTCTTATATTGGCTTGCATTCTGTAAAGTTTTTAAGGAGTGGGAAATACTGTCTTTATAGCTCATTATTTTCTATAAAAGGTTTTTGGGAAATAAGCAATTAATGCACAATAGAAACAAGAATAAAATTTAAGCAAGTGATTTAATCCTAGATACAATATCACAGCTGTAGTTTTAAGGGAATCTTCAGGACATTTTATTGCTAAGTGTTTCAGGTGTACTCCATATGTGAAACCAAAAGCCAAGCAAAAGATAATTATTGACAGAAAATAATCAGTGCAATGGAGACGCTTCTATTCTCTAAGTATGCAGCAGTAAAATGAAGCTATTTATTTCCTCTTGTGCTCTAGTCTAATTATCTTAATTTCTTCATCAGCTTCTCTAGGTGATTCTGCAAATTACAGTTAAACACACTGGACAACATTTTTTTTCTCCAAAGTTCTGCTTCCTGAAAAACTTTTAGGTTATTGTAATAGACCCCTTCAAACTGAAAACAAATATAATTTTAGAATGACTGTATCAATTAGGGACCTTGAGAAATATAAAATTAATTTTTAATAATTATAAGTATTTAATTGCATAAGGCAGAGGTCCCCAACCTTTTGGGCACCAGGGACCGGTTCCGTGGACAGGTTTTTCCGTGGACTGGAGGGTGCATGGTTTTGTGTGCTGCTTGCATCCCACGGATGGGGCTTTGCTTGTTTGCGTGGCCCGGATGCTGGCATGCTACGGCCCAGTACCGGTCCATGGACCAGGGGTTAGGGACCCCTGGCATAAGGTTTCCAACACACTGCTTGAGTTCAACTGGGCCAAAAGCATTTTGTTGCTGATTTCCATTTGTACATAGAGTCAAATGCATTTTATTGTAGTATCTAACAGTATTCAGACAGTATTGATGGATTCCAGTTGAGCTAATACTGATTTTCCATTGTGGCAATGTGGAATGCAGAAAATGAATCTTCAGTGACATATGGCACTTCATGGCCTTGCATGCTGTAAGAAGTTTGCCAACCAGCTGAATGTAGTTTAGTGCGCTGTAGTTGCCAAGAAAATTCTCAACACATCCTTGAATGTTTTCCAGGCAATTTTGTCTGGCTCCACAAACAGATCTTTCAACTGCTTGTCATTGATGGCATATCTCATATGTCGACCAATAAAAATGCCTTCCTTAATCTTGGCATCAGTTATTCTTGGAAACATCTGTCTCAAATAACGAAAACCTTCACCTTCCTTGTTCATCGCTTTCACAAAAGTTTTCATCGGTCTTGAGTTGTATGTGAAGCGGAGGCAAAAAACTATCTTTCATGGGTCAATAAGTGAGTCATGTGCGACATTATTCTGTCCTGGAATCAAATTCTTTTGGAATAGCCATTTCTTTTTAATTTAATATGACTCTTTTGCACAGCCGTCCCATTCGCATAAGGAACAATACTATTTGATTTATCTGAGCTGTATTCCAAGCAGCACAGCCACCTCATTTAGAACTCTACAGACTTGGTGTACTGGATGTGCTTTGACAACAGTTCCATGTTTTCGTACATTTCTTTCATGTGTGCAACAATGCCAACAGGTACTGAAGGATATACATTGCCATTGTATAAAAACAGAAGATTTCTTTAAAACAGTAGGTGATAGATTAAATTACAGGTTATTTTTGTGTCTAGCAGCCAAATATCTATAAGATATGCCCAAAAGTTCAGGAAGCAAAATCTTTGTAATCGAGCGATAGCAAAGTCATATATTTGAGGTCAACTCCTGACTAACAGGTTTCTGGTTTGTTAATGCTGCTGCCTGTGTTACACAATGAAAAACTTGTTAACACAATATAAACCATGAAAATGTCACTTTTAAGTGGAATTAGTTCTTTGTCAATATATCTTCAGCATGTATTCCTTTCCACTTACCTCAGCACTGTGTGAAAGTGCCTCACCATTTTGGCTAATGTTTTTCCTCCATTCTGTCCAGGAATTATATAATTTCTGTTGGGCATCTTGAAGTTTCACGTTAGCATTAGTCATGTTCTTTCTGGCATATTCCAGCTACAATGCATAACATATACCCAAATTTACAAAAGCATACAATCCTCTTTTTATTGCTTTTAAAATAATGACCAAAAAAACTGACAAAAAAAATTATGCAACCTCTTTTGATGTCATGATGTTAAGAATCTCATATCCTATAGTTGTGTTTTTTTAAGAAAAAGGAATTTTGGTCTCTTTTGGACCATCTGACTCAGAAGAAGCAGTAATGACTGCTTTGGTAGCTGTGAGAGCAATGACTCACAGCTGGTAATTCGGGACTGCTGTGTCGGCTGTGCCCTTTTGAGAGGTTCACAGTCAGAGTGCATGGTTGAAGACTAAGCCTCCCCATTTCCCCCCCATTGTTGAAAAGCTCTGAAAGATCCTCAGACATTTATGGCCATTAATTTGGTTGCTCTTGAATTGACAAAATATGCAGTCTAGCGACCTTGGACATGTACGTTCAACAGAGCTCTCCAAAGGAAGGCAGAGCTGGACATGGGAAAAATAACGATCTTCTCCCAGAGATTAAGTGGGAGAGGCCACAGGCACCCAGTACAAACCAAAATTACACAAAAATTATGAATTGTGCATCAAGATGATGCATGCTCCATATTCTATATTTTCAATTCAACGTTGTAGACAGAAAGAGTGGAGCTTGAGTTAGAACACAAATTTCATCGGTTGCCCTACTATACTTCTGGAAGGCCTACAAGACGGAGGAACACTTTTCCAATGTTGTAGAAGAAGAAAAAAAGGTTCTATAGAGGTTTTTAGACACTTATTGCCAGATAATACTTTGTGAACTGGCTGTAGCGTTACTCAAAAATTGGATGCCTACTCTGCATGAAGAGGTCATGTGGTCCGTTTGGCTTAGCACATTTTGTACTGTGGTTTATAAAATCTGATTTATGCCTTTGTGTTGTGTAAAATCAGGACCCTATAGTATGTTCAACAACCTATGGCTAATGTAAGCCAATTTTAGTGTACTGTGCGAATGTGTCCTATGTGCAAGGTAAGCATTTTATTCATGCTCAAGGCTCTTGTTTCATGCTATCTCATATTTGATCCTGGGAACAAAAGCAATTCAGCAGTGTTGCTCAAAAAGAACATCCAAGGAGAAATAAAAGAGTAATTAAATTTGTTGCATAATCTTGAAGGAGTTGCATGATCTTGCTATCAGTATTAACTAAGCATCACTTGAGGTAATTTTTCTACAATCTTTTGTAGAACTGATGCTTGAAGATTGTCTCAAGGTTTTTTTTAAAAGAAAGTTAATCTTCATTGTATTAAAACATGTTGTGTCAGGTCATTTTATTTTATTCTCTAGTCAAACGTGATAGTTAAACATCTTAATTTTTAAGGTTTGATCGGAGTTCAACATTGTAAGTATCATTAACTTTCAAAGTCCACAAAAAAAGGAGAGGCTTGGAAGAGCAAAGAAAACATGCATGTTTCAGGAGACCATAATATTATTGATATAACTTACTTAAGAAAAATATCATACTTACCAGGTTAACAGTATAATTGAGCTGAGAAATTGTCTCTTGGCTTCTGAGCTTAGCATCCCTAAATGCATTTAGAGTCTGTTGATAGGCACGTGCTCGGACCTTTGAAGACAAAGATCCTAGTCTAACATAGTAACTTAGCTTCTGATCTCCAGTTTCAAATCCTTTGATGTTGGTAGCTTGTTTTTCTGCAGAGTCAAAATACAAACCTATTAGTCTTGTCATCAGGCCCATATCATATACATACACAAACAGTCCATACTACTTCTTAATGATAAATTGGCTGGCTCAAATCAGGAAAAATTATTGTCACACAATGAGGAGGAAGGGGTCCCCTGTTAATGTCAAAGGTATGCTTTGCAAAAATACAAATTCTTTGAAAAAACCATGACAGGTGAGGAATTACAAGATGGGCTCTATTGTTAGAAAGCATACAGTCATATAACTATACAAACTGGCAATTGTATACAGCCATATTTCTCATCTGTGGCAATTTTAAGATATGCAGACTTCAATTCCCGGAATTACCCCCTTTGTTAATTTTTACTTCCCCCTTTTATTGGCCGTACACGTTAGTATTATTATATTCTGTTGTTTTGCAAGTACACTGAGTGTTTCTGTACTGGAGACAAATTCCTTGTGTGTCTAACGATACTTGGACAAATAAATAAAACAAGTATAAAGTATAAAGAATGGCTGGTTGGAGAATTCTGGGATTTGACGACCACATACCTTAAAGCTGCTAAGGTTGAGAAACATTGGTATAGAGCAAAAACTGTATCTTCCTCACTGCGACAGAAGTCATTAATCAAATCAAAACAGTTAAGATTTCCAATCCCACATGCGTATTAGTAGCTTTGGACAGAGTCTTCCAGCAAATCCTTACCCAGTTCTTCTGTGGTGTGTGGAAGGTACTGATCAACCAGAATTTCAGACTTGCTGAGTGCGGTATCCACCCCGATGGTCACTAGGCACACCATCCGACTCTGCAGAACAGTGTTAATGCTGCCATGGACTGCATATTTAGTTAGCTCCACACTGTCCAGAACAACTCCTTTTGTCTTGTCAACAACTTCACTAAGGGTGTGTGTGACTGTATCCTTGGCACCAGCCACAGTGGTTGTTACGGCATCCCTTGCACCAACAACTGCATCCACAGCATTGGCAACCACCTAAAAGAAGTTAAAGATGTTTCTCCAAGAGCTAAAAGAACATAGAGATGTAGCCTATTTGCTTTAATATTCAGTGATGTCAAGAGGTATCAGGTACGTCAAAAGCAAGAGGTTATAGGTTTGTTGTAAGGAAAAAAAGATGGGGGTTGAGATCATGTGATAGTAAGAAAGCAGAATGTATAAACTTGTACTTCACGTCTGTCTTCTCTTAGAAGAAAACAAAGCTTCAATTGGTCATCACTGTTTAAAGAACTTAAGATAATTTAAATGAATTCAGGTCTCCAGGCACAAATGAATTGTATTCTAGATGCTAGTGGAGGCAATTGCAGAACCACTAACTTAATCTTTGAGAACTCTCTGGACTGCTCATGTTATCCTGTTAATAAAATGGAATATAGACTAGATGACACAATTGTGAAATGGAATCTTAACTGGCTGAATATTTACACCATAGGAAGTAACTGTCCCCCATTCTACTCTGCCTTGGTCAGGCCCTAGGTCAGTGGTTCTCAACCTGTGGATCGGGACCCCATTTGGGGTCGAATGACCATTTCACGGGGGTCGCCAAACAAGGCTGTCCGCCATTTTTCCCCCTTTTCTTTGGTCACGCCCCTGGCACCCGATGATGTATAAGTGATTGGGGGTCACCACAACATGGGGAACTGTATTATGGGGTCGCGGCATTAGAAAGGTTGAGAACCACTGCCCTAGGTGGAGTATTATGTCTCATTTTGCAATTTAAAAGTACATTGACAAACTGCAGCAATTTTAGAAGACAGCTGCCAAGACAGGAAGAGTGATAGAAATCAAATCCTGTGAGGAATAAGAAACCAGGTATGTTTAGCGGGCAGAAGAAACACCTGAAAGTAGATAAAATAGCACTTCAAATACAAAGTGTTTTTAAGAACATTTTTAAGATGAAATATAAGTATCTTGCTTTGGGCAAGATGATTGTAGATAGCCAATTATATGACTTTTAAACATTACCAATTAAACTGTACACCATTTTATATTAAGCAGGTATACTGTATAATCTTCCCTTAAGTTGAATGCCCTGTTTGCTCTTTCATTAGGTATCGGGGCAGAGGTTTAGATGGTACTAGAAGAAAACTTAAATTTCATGTAATTTTGCATTTTAATTTTATTAAATATAGCTAGCATGATTTACCTACACCGGTTATATTTTTTTCAACTTTTGAAATATTCCAGTCAGAACTTTGAAAAGTCTCTAAGGAACCACTCTCAAGCTTTCAGCTGCCATGCAGAATTCCAGTTTGTATGCATTTTGCGTACAATCTGCAAACTCTCACAGAATTAATATAAGTCTAGGAAAATCTTCCTCAAAATCCAGCATCTCCCAAAAGAGGTATAAATATTTTATGTCTTCCTTGCTCACAGATTATATAGATTAGAACATTTCACAAACTTTTATGAACAGATGGAGTCCCCTTTTCTAAAAAGACTATATGACATTTTATATGTGAGACTCTTGAATTAATCTGTGCATCCAATAATAGATGCCAAATTCATGAACAAACCTATTTTTTTAGTAACTGACACCATAATCAGCCCTTCAGATTTTTTGCACAGCTTCCTGAAATTGATTTAGGGCTAATTGAACCTAACCCTCCACTGAATATCAAGTACTAATCCAGATTATTTGAACACAGCACCATTATGAGATAATGGGATTAAAGACAAATAAAAATATGCCCAAGCAACCTACCTTATCAGTTGGCTGATACAGTATAGGCAATTTTTCTTCAACTTTGTCCAATCCCATGCAAGCATAGCTATTGGCCATTGCAACTGCAACAATTAAGGACAGTTCAGATATTGCTGATAGAACAATGCTTTCCAACAATTCTGTGGGGTATAGTTATGGATCCTTCATTTTAAGTAGAATAATTTGGTATTAACAATATTTGAAAAGATACCAAAATGGCAAGTAAAATTATTATGGGGTTGGAATGTCATTTATTTGTTACATTTGCTGCCCGATTCACCATGGGGCTACTCTAAACGGCTGTACTACATACTAAAATTAAAAAAAAACATTCATTTGTAGATGTTTGGCATGTGCATTTATGTACATATACAGTAGACACACATCACTGCACAAGAGATTTGTGTGAAGGTACGAATGGACATGTATGACAGACCACAGCATATGGAAAAATACCAGACTGAAGATATCTAAATAAGTTCAGTAAGGGATGGTTTTCAAAACAAGAGATGGTTCCTAAGTAAACTGGATGAAGTAAAAGCTTTCAAGTGGAAAAATACCAGAGATTGCAATAAAAATGCCAAGCTACATGCAACGCAGGCTGCATACAGATGGGGGAGGGGGTATTGGGCTTTGACATGAACTCAGATAGGCTGGGGAAACAGGACATGGGGTACTCTCTGTATGTGAGCAAAGGGAGGTGGGGATAAGGGCACGGGGTGAGTATATATCTGCAAGTGCATGTAGGCCAAGAGGGCAAAGAGTATAATGTGTGAGAATGCAGGAGGCCAAGGAAAGCGGAGGTGGAGTGTGTGCATGTGAATTCACGGAGGCAGGAAAGAGGGTAAGGGGTACTTGCATGTGTGTGAGAACAGGGAGATCTGGGAAAAGGGGTACCTTATGTGTCCATGCAGCCGAGTGCAGGGAAAAGGAGCATGAGGTGAATGCATGAGCACAGTGATACACGTGACACACATGTGACACAGGGAGAGAGGATGCAGAGTGCATGAATGTGTGTGTGTGCATAGGGAGGCCCAAAAAAGAGGGCATGTGTGCAGGGAGGCAGGAGAAAAAGTTTGTGGGGTACATTTGTACATGTGAGGATAAAGAGGTCAAAGAAAGAAGATAAAACGTGTGTGGTCAGAATTTCAAGGACAAATCTGAGTCCCTTTGTTCAGCACTGTTATAACTTAAATCGTTGCTGAATGAATGGTCGTATCTCAAGGACTATCTCTGAAACCTAAATCTAAAGCCTGAGTAAATATGCACATGCTTATCTTTGTAGGAGTAAATTAGGTTTTTAAGTCAGAAAGTGGGCAATAAATGCTATAAATCTGTATCTATTTCTAAGTATCTGAATTAACTATAAAACTGGAGTTCTTATGAAACTCTCCTTACTTTCCTGAAACTTTCCTGAAAGGAATAGCTATTCTTTGAGGCAAGCAATTGTAACCTTTAAACTTACTACTAAACAGCGTAAGGAGAGCCACAACAGAAATATAAAAAATTATACATAATACAGATTAACATTATGTAGGAGAGGTAAGTTTTTCCTCCCTTTTAATACACTGACAAAAATCAAGGTCACCTGCTGCAACTAAATGCAGGGTGAGGCTCAGGATTGATGTAAGGAAGCCCTTTTTGCACACACCTAATAAATAATAAATTGGTCCCTTCGTGTCAGCCTTGACCCGACAGATGACAATACAAGCCCAAACAGTCACCTTGGCAGGGCCTGTGGAAGTGATTGGCTATTGCTTTCTTCCTAAAGCTAAGGAAGAATGACTGGCCTAAATCACCCAATTGGCTTTGTGCCCAAGATGGGAACTAGAACCCAGTATTCTGGTTTCTAGGCCTGTACCTTAATGGCTGCACTAAACTGGCTGCCAGCACATAAACAACTGAATTTGCTACAAACATGTGGAACAGCATGTCTTCATAAAAGAACTGTTCCATGGTTTTTAAAAAAAAGACTGGACAGATTCACGGAAGATCAGTCTAGCACAGTGGTTCTCAACCTGTGGGTCGGGACCCCATTTGGGGTCGAACAACCATTTCACGGGGGTCGCCAAACAATGCAGTCCGCCATTTTTCCCCCCCTTTCCTTAGCTGTGCTACTCCCTTTTATTCTATTGGCTTTTGAAAGCCAATAGAATAGACTCTCTTGAATAGAGTCTAATTCTATTGGCTTTCAAAAGCCAATAGGAATTGTCCAGGCTGTCTCTGCCCTGCTGAGCCCGCCAAAAGTCCCATTCTGCAAACGGTGCTGCACCAGTTGAGTAGTCCTCGACTTACGACCGGTTGAGTAGTCCTCGACTTACGACCGGTTGGGGGTTGCGGCATTAAAAAGGTTGAGAACCACTGGTCTAGCAATAGTTCTTCATACAGATTATTTATTACTTTCTTCTTTACAAACCACAGTGAAAAGGCACCAAAACAGCCCTAGTTTATGGCCTTCCCCCAAGGCGGAATAATATTGGAAATGGCCCTTTGGCCTGATCTGGCAGGCTCCTCCGAATTAAGGAAGTATCAAAAGCTAGTTCAGCTTTTTTTTTTTTTTGTGCCATCATAAAACAGGAAGCCTCCTGAATTAATATTTTAAGGCCAAAGTTCAGCATAAGATTCCCACTAGCAAGCTGAAAGAGCCCTCTTAAACATGACCAAATATTTCCAAGCCTGCTGACACTTTGCAAGATTAGGTTTTCCCTTAAGTCGACACCCACGCACAATGGAATACTGTATAAAATATAAAATGTAGTTTCTGACAGTGAGGTATTTACAAAATAGGTGAAAGGTAAAGGCAAGTCGTTGGCTGGAAGTGAGTGAAGAGTAATGACTCAGCAAGCTTGAGCAACAGCTATTTATTTATGCATCAGCTTATGAATCAAAGTTCTTTCAAGTTCCTGACACATAAGCCATTAGAATTTTAATCTTGGAGGCTAAACCTATTTAACTTTAATTTTAAAAACTTGAAGTTCAGCCATGGCAGCTCTTAGGCTTGCTGCAGAGACATTAGCAAAAATTTTCCAAAGATTTATTATTTGAAGTAGATCCTGTAATTCCAGCAAATAACATTTTGAGAAAATGTTCTGTTTGAGTGCACACTCAAGTCAAACTCAAGTCAAACTCAAATTTAAAAAAAGGGATGTAATATGCAGCAAGCAGCATATGACACATTAGGAGCAACTGACCTCCTGCCATCTCATCTCATCTCATCTACCATTCCACCCACCTTTCACACCTATTTCCAAGCTCCCAGCGCTAATCTAATCTAATCTAACCATTCCAGCCACCTTTCACACCTATTTCCAAGCTTCCAACACTCCAGGGTCAAATTTTGTTCCAATTCTTTTAAGGAACTGGAATATCAGAGATGCAAGGGTATCATACATTGGAAAGTAAAAAGTGCTAAAAAAAAGAAAAAGTTCCAAAAGAAAAAGAAAAAGTTCCAAACAGGTATGAAGTAGTAGTATTGTGACTTACTTTGCGGCTCCAATTTTTGGATGATGGGCAGGGCACTGGTCAGGGCCACTGCTGTAATAGTCTTCACTCCTTTCTCTGCCATCTCACAGACAGATTTAAGGTAGGGGTAATTGTCTTTTGTGCTAATATAAGCAGAAGAGACCATATCGTAGGTGGAACTCACCAGGGGCAAACTAGCAACCCTGGAAACCACATTCTGTAAAAATACAAAATACAAGATGATTTACTCACAATTCTTCCTCAAAAATGGCCTAATATTCTTTATTTAATTGAGACATACCTGCTGGGCATCAGCCGACACCGCTGCCATCTTTTTGCCTTGATTGTTTTAAAGTCTGGAAGAGGATTACAAGTATTAAAAATTATTTTTAAAGTTATTTTTAATCTTTGATAACAGCAAAATATTTGATATCTTTTATTAATTTCTAATTTCTTGGACTGCAAGGCGTTCAAACCGGTTAGTCCTAGAAGAGATCAACCCCGACTGCTCTTTAGAAGGCCAGATCCTGAAGTTGAAACTCAAATATTTTGGCCACCTAATGAGAAGGAAGGACTCACTGGAAAAGGGTCTAATGCTGGGAAAGGCAATAGAAGAAGGGGAGGACAGAGAATGAGATGGCTGGATGGAGTCACTGAAGCAGTAGGTGTGAACTTAAACGGACTCCAGAAGATGGTAGAGGACAGGAAGACCTGGAGGAACATTGTCCATGGGGTCGCGATGGGTTGGACACGACTTCGCAATTAACAACAATAACAACAACAACAATTAATTTCTAAACATGTGCAGGGGAATGTTATAAGTCTGAATATTTGAAAACACATCTTTTCTAGCTATTTGTAGGACAATGCAAAAGTGTCAAAATGTAGTCTCTCTAAGCAATACTCGCTAAACCATGCAAGAGGCATAAACATCTAAAAGGCTTTGACAAAATTATTTCAGGGTATATACCTTTCAAGACAGTTTGACTTCTGACTTCAAAATTTGCTAAATTTAAAAAGCTAAAATTCAGCAGAGGAAACTTAAATTTGAATCAAGATTAATAAAGCTGGGAGCTATGTTCTGGTTACTATACAAAGCCATAAAACAGGAGGCTTTAATACTTTGATTCCAAAATTAAGGCAGACAAAAAGTGGTTTTATATTCCAGAATGTGTTGATAGCTTTCATATCATAAGTTTGACTTGTATATTGTAAATAATTTAGTACCATTGCCGTGGGTGTGGCAATAGTTTCCTGAAACCATGATTATTCACATTATGTGACAATGCGTTATTCTTACTAAAATGTTCCGAATTATTCTAGTTTATTAAAAAAATATCTCTAGTCATAAAAATCTGACAAGTTCTGTTTTAATTTATTGGGCTATTATGCATATAACATTTCACTCAACAGCACGCTTTCTTTGCATATATAGTAAGGCTTACTTTCTAACAAGCATTAAAAAAACTTATCTGAAGGCAATTAGCAAAAAGATTGGAGTTCAAAACTAGATTTCACTTTTATCAGAGTATTTTTTTAATGGGGCAAAGTTATATAAAAAACAGCATTCTTTATTCTGTAAAGTGTACACATAGAGAACACCTTGCCTTGCCTTAAAACACATTCCATTCAATATTCCACAAATTTCAGTCATTTACTATTTCATAGAATGTAATTTAATGGCTAAAAAAGCCAGGATGGTATAGTGACTAAAGCACAAAAGCTAGAAATGGGCAGACTGTGAGTTCTAGTCCTGCTTCAGGCGGCTGGGTCAGTCACTCTCAACCATAGGATGAAGACAACAGCAAACCACTTATGAAAATGTTGCAAGAAAATTGCAGGGACTCAGGCAGTCCCAATATGCCTTGAAGGAACAAATACCCACATATACTACAGAACAGCTATAGAACAAACTCACTATTCCAGAACCTTGTGAATCAATGCATATTGTTCCTCACCCATCTTAAATATCAGGATTCTTTAAAGTTTCAAGATTAGATGTTGATTAGGGTATTCACTTTGTTTTAAAGATACCGGAACAGAAGAAATGTAGGAAATGGAACCATACAGAGGTTTCAAGTCAGCGAGAAAATAAGTTCTACTTATAAAATAGGACCGAGATAGTTTTCAGCACTAAATGCATATATTTAAACTTTCCGTCTCTTTTCCGTAGCAGGATATTTGTTTCAATTCTGAAAAAGGGTTGATTTGGTGAGGTTTTTGCTTATAATCCACCAATATATCCATAAGTATTCCTAATACTTCAGCTATTGGCCAACATCCATCGACTAGAATTACATCCTAATCCTAAAAACTGTAAGACATGTTAAGCACTTTTCCCAGCAACTACCAAATTCAAAGATTGGGAAGAGAATTAGTTTTCCCAGGCAACATTTCTGCCGCTTCCAAAGCGCTCTCTCTCTCTCTCTCTCTCTCTCACTCTCTCGGGCAAATGCAATCCTTTTGCACCACACATTTTTCTGTGGGAGCTATTTTTAAAGAGGGGGTTCAAAAAGAACCCTGCAATCATACAACTGCAGCTATGGGAAAGACGCGCCTGTAAGCCCACCCAAGCATTTCTTTAGCCTTTGCACCCTTTACCCGAATGCTTTAAAGCCAAGTCCAGGAGAAACAAAGGGACTAAACGCTACAGATCCAGAAGAGACGTACAGCCACCTTTTTCCTTGCAGGGCACGCAAGAGAGCCCCATGCTATGGGAAGAGCAAGCACGTTTCCAAAGCCACATTTCTTCGAAGCAAGGTGCAATCTCGCCATCAGGCTAGTCCCTCGGCTTTAGCTCCTCCGAGGCTAAAACGGAAAGGTCCATCCTCCCCCACTAGGCAATTGCTACCTTGTCCCAAGAGTAGATACTCACCCGGGAAAAACCAGATAGTAAAACCTGTACAAGCGAGCTCACCCGCAGACGAAGCACGCTAACTTTCGACAAACTGTCAGAGCGCGGGTGGAGCACCGGGCAATTTATGCAGCTAACCCACCCACCCACCCTCCAGCGACATCTCGCGAGAGAGCTGCAGATCCGGCCAGTTGGAGCAAACCTCGCCCTGCTCCCGTGATTCCTCCTAAAGACCTCGCTTTCTCGAGACGTTCTGTGTTGGAGGCCGCCCGAAAAGCAGCAACTGCACCCTGCATGATTTGTTTCTTTATTTGTTTGTTGCTATTTTGGATCCGTCGCCGTGCAGCTGAAGTCTCGCTGCAGAGGGAGGGGGAGGGAAAAGGCGCGTGGGTTTGATTGAGACGCTCTGTAGCCGCCCTTAGGTCCTCGGAGAAGCGCGTAAAAAAAAAATAATGAACGAAATGTAGCGTTGCAAACCGGACGGCAAAGTCATGCCCCATTGAGAAGACCGATGGGAACGCTTGAATGGCTTGAGTTGCAGCTAAAACAGCGGTTCTCAACCTATGGGTCGTGACTACATTTGGGGTCGATCGACCATTCCACGGGGTCGCCAAGCAAGGCTGTCCGTCATTTTTTTCCTCCTTTTCTGGCGGGTGCCTTACCTCCCTTGGACTGGGCCACCTGGTGGCCCAGCCGGTGGTCAGCCTGCTCTGTCTCTGCCGCTTGTCAGCTACGCCTAGGGTGGCACCATGCATGAGCGGCGTTCCCTGGTAGGGAAAGTCCTTGACTTACAACCAGTTTAGTCCTTGACTTATGATTGGTTTAGTTCTTGACTTACGACCGGTTGGGGGACGCAGCATTAAAAAGGTTGAGAACCACTGAGATAAAACAAGGAATGTGCTTTCTTTGGAAGTAGAGGATGCTGTATATTGGGTTCTAAGGCATTTAAGATAAAATCTCCCAGGTCCACCTCTGCAAGGACGTGGTTAGTTTGTTAGATTTATGTCGTGTCTTTTGTTCCAGAGCTCAAAGCAGCAGTGTGAATTTTTTTTTTTTCTTTTAAACTCTTGACAATAATTTTAGAAGGTAGATTAGGCTGAGTGAGTTGTCTGGCTAAAAGTTACCCGGTGAGGTGCCATGCTTGAGAATGTACTTTAGAATCTGACTCTTCCTACTCCTAGACCAGTGTCTTAACTGTTACTCCATCTTGGCTCCGTTTTTCTTAGCAAAAATGCCTATTAAAATGCAAGTGATTTGTCCTAGTCTAGCCTACAGCCTGCCCTACAATCATCTGGTAAATTTCTCACCCAGCCAGGTTTTACTCTGCCTTTTGAGATCAACTACATTCAGCTATGTAACATCTAGGGCTCATCTAATAAAAGTATATAGCGCCCAGTAACTTATTCTGTAGTAAAATGCATAGGACCATGTGGGTATACCTCTGGATTTATTAGGGCTCATTAAGTAGGCAGAGGATTGCATTTGTTTTCATAAACAAAATCCCATGTCATTGGCTGCCAAATACAGATATTGGTGGGAAATGGCTGACTAGATATAGATGGAGAGATGTCTTTAAATATACCCATCTTTCAGAGCTGATTTAATTTGATATCTCCCAGCAAGGAGCAGCCTCAACAGCTGAAATGGTTCCTTCTGGTTTTGAGTTTCTTCTATTCTAGTTTATAAATAATAAAGATTGGTTTCTTTGTTCTAGCTCATCCTTTAGCAACTGTTTTAGAAACACCTGTATTTTCCACAGTGTTTCCAATGATAGAAAACTAGTAGTACTAAAGTTGGAAGGATCTGCGTGGATTATCTGGTCTAGTGCTTGGCAATGTAAACCGATTAAAACCATGAGAGGTGGCTGCTTTCTATCAAATTAAAAATATACCAAGTTCCTTCAGCCTATCATGTCCTTTCATACTGAATCATCTTTGTAGATACCCTTTGAATCCCAATTTTCTGGAAATGAAGTTTCCATACGTGTACCCAACACTCCCAAGTATGGTCTCATTAGCACCATATACGGAAGGCTAATGATAGTATGTGTCTTGATGTAATGCTTCTGATGCAGCACAAAACCATAACTGCCCTTTAACATGATTCATGTTAAAACTTCACACTGATCACAGCCAATACTTTCTCAGATGTTTCCAAGCTATGAACTTCTATTCTTCTCAGGTGGTCTTCCAACTTATGCAGATGGGATTACCATCTCATTCTGTCATGCTACATATTGACTAGACACCCCAAATTTGCATCATTCACGCATTCAATGAACAGCCCATCAAACTCATCCAGGCCATTAATAAAAAAGTTGAATAATAGTAGCCTTCAGATGGACACTTGCAAACTCCCACTTGTTAGCATACTATAAGTATACAGCCTTTCCATGTTAAGACCTTATTGAAAATTTTGTGAAAGTTTCTTAAATTTCTACCTCTACAGTAATACTCAAGAAACCCACACATTAGATTGAGCATGTCTTAAAATAAACATGAAAACTAAAATTTATCAAAAACCATTAACTAGAATTGATTACAAAAACTATTATCAAATTCCTCAAGCAGTTTAGGAACTACAAACTGTTTTACTAACTTAATTTTAGAGAACTAGTTGCAGCTTATCACACAAATTCCAACTTCCCTGCAGCATACCTGCAGTGACCTATGCTTGTGCCCCAAAATACATGAGCATGAGTCAGGAATACCCAAATTATCCCAACGAGTCACATTTCATGCCATTGTTTGAGCTGGTCACACAAAGTCCAAACTCCTCACCGCTCCCAGTGATGACTTCTTATTTCCCACAATACACCAGGAATATGCAAATTAGCCCAATTGCTCTAATTAATGTTAATCAGTACACAAAGAAGTATATATTGTAAAGTGAATGGAGCAGTGGATCATTTCAACTGAGTCTCCCCATAGCTTTCATTAAGCACCTTTAAGTAGATCAGATTTGGTTTGTGATATATGTATAAACACAAAAATAACACTTACTCATTGATTAGATTAGAGCCTTTTCTAAAAAAAGTAGTCTCACGCTCCTGGTGATTTTGTGAACATATATTGGCAATAATAGTTTGCTACTGCTTTCTTCCAGGATGTTTCTTCAATTTCTGCTTAATTCACATTAAACAGTATGCATGGGTGTTGGGGGGGGGGGAGAAGGCACCAGTAATGTATGTTGTATTTCCAATTAAGTAGTATGTTCAAAACTGTTCTTAAAGTTGCAGTCAAGGTAAAAAATATGCAGTGTATATATAAAAATATTTGTTGGTATTCTGCTTCTGCAGAGTGGGGCATGTGAGGGTTCAGGTCATTTGTTTCTCCTCTTTCACATCTACATGAAACTATTAAATGAAATCTTTCAATAGCACAGGATGCGTTATGCTAGTGATACCAAGTTGCACCTCTTCATCAGGCAGATGTGCTGTCCTGGTGTTAGCCCAGTGCCTGGAAGCTGTGAGGGTCTGGATCGGGAAGAACTGACACCAACTCAATCCTGGCTTTGGGTTTCAGCCCTTCGCAATCTGGTGCTGTGTGATCTTTGATTCTAATGAGGTGGCACTCCCCTGGACTGAGTTGGTGTGCAACTTGAGGGTCTTCCTACACTCATAGCTCCTGCTAGGAGGGGCTTTGCCCAGATTTATCTTGTGTATTAATGGTGCCCTTTCCTGGACTGGATGGGTGTGCTCAAGATGACTCATGCCCTGGTCGCTTCCTGGATGGACTACAGCAGTGCGGTCTACATGGGGCTGCCATTGAAGACCACCCAGAAGTTACAACTGCTCCAGAACATGGTGACAGTGAACACAGTGCTGGTCGCCCTAGATTCACCTATAATACTTTTATGCAAGCTGCACTTGCTCCCAGTTTTCTTCTGGGTGCAATTCAAGGTGCTGGTTAATACCTTTAAAGCCCTGTATGGCACAGGCCAGGTTACTTTCAGGAACACTTTCCTTGAGATTCTCTGCCCTTTCTACTAGATTGGATAGACTGAGAAATGCATGCACCAGGCCACTTCCTTTGAATATTATCATCTATCAGGACCCAGGAAGTATGCCTTTTCCATCAAAGCCTCTACCCTAAAAAACACCCTTCCCCTTGAAGCCCCTATCCTTTTAACCTTCTGGAAAGCCACAAAGAGCTGGATTTTTCAAGTGTTGCAAGAGGGTGAAACTGGAATTGGAAGAGTGTTGTGGCCTGCATCAGGGAAATTTGGGTGTGGCACTAAGTTTTGTCTATTTCTGTTTTCATTGTGGGTTTTTTGGTATTGTTTATATATCACAGTTCTGGTTTTGGATTTAAGATGGGTGACTGTACAGACATTTTATGTAAATAAATAAAATGCACTTAACAATTTAGTTTTGCAGATTGTGCTGAACTGTAGATTGTTTAACGATAGTCTACTGAATACAATGGAATATTTGGGTTATTCCGTGTTAAGTCAAAAAGCAAAAAAAAAAAAAAAAACAACCCATAGTTTAGCACATCTTTATCTCTAGCCTGCTGTGGTTTATTCAACAAACCATTTTTAAACCTTGCAATATAGAAATAATATCTATTTACAATAAATAATTGTCTAAAATGATTTATTATTTCTTTGGAAATAATAAGCGGTGTACACCAGTAAGCAATGTATATATATATATATACATTGCCCCCAACAATCTGAGTCCTCATTTTACCTATCCCGGAAGGATGGAAGGCTGAGTCAACCTTGAGCCGGTGAGATTTGAACCGCTGACCTGCTGAACACAGTCAGCTAAAGTGGCCTGCAGTACTGCACTCTAACTGCTGAGGTATTCAAGATCCTCTCAGAATATTTCTGACAGAAAATGGGCGGCAGGCAGACTTAAATTGTTTCCATTTATTGCCAACAGATCCTATACATATTTATTTTGTAATTTTCATTTAATCCTTTTTCAAAGAATTCAGAATAGTGTTCTTGCTCCTTCAATTTTTATCAAGTATGTTTACACTATTATCAGTGTAAATGGGAATAAGTCACTTATTGGTGATCTTTTACTGAATAACTAAGGTATCCAAGAGTTTCTTTGTTTATACTGTGACTGCATTCCTGTTCCATTGTCTAACACTTAATTTCACCCAATTAAAATTAAAAACCTGTGA